TATTGGCTCAGCTGTGTGGAGGTAACACTGTACTATACATTTCTAAGTGGAGCTGAGTCCTTATACAATTAGGAAGAAGTGTTTTGTGCAATATGAATGCCTGAACTGTAATCTGAATTACTGTTTTTAAATAATACAATCAAAATTTGGACTATCAAATTGAGAATCTGACTGCTTTTGGCAAACCTGTGAAGTGTAACATTTGGCAACATGCTTTTAAGAGAACTAAGACCACTTCCACTTTTGGTTACATATTTGAAGTATCCCAGATTACTTACCCATTCTAATTTGCCAAGCAGTCTAATAGATGTTATCAGACCAGTTTTCATTCTATTTTCAGATAGAGATCTTTTTATAACCTCAGCTATTAAGAAACATTCCAGGTACACAGGAACATTTGCGTCAACGTTTTCTTCTCTGTTAACCCCAATTTACTTTAGTTTCTGCAGCATTCCATACTGTGTGCAAACACTCCATCCAACAGAAATTGGCAATTTGAATATACAATGTAGATCAAGAATTAATTTTGCAGCCTGATATGACTAAGAAAGTAGTATGTGATTATGAGATAATTATACAACTGACTATTAAAAAATATTTTTCCCCACTGCAGGTATTTGTACAGTTGCAAAGAAATTGTATTACGGAGAAATACAGAAGGGAGTCTTGGCTTTAGTATTGTGGGAGGTTATGAAGAAAGCAGTGGGAACAAGCCATTTTTCATCAAATCAATTGTTGCAGGAACACCAGCATATAACGATGGAAGAATCAGGTAAAAAAAAATTGTAAAGTCTTTCCTTCCAACATTGATCCCTCTTGTAGGCATTTTTCTGCATGATTTGTCAGGATGCAAACTTGGAACATGTTTGGACGCAAGGTATGAGTTGGTGTAATTGCCTTATGCTGGGTTAACTTCTAATTAATGGTGACCCATTGCTAAAGAACCATTGTTGCCAAACCTTCCAGGCATGGGCAACTGCATCACAGGGCCCACAACATTCTGAATAGGGTATCACCACTGCACTACTGATGAGAACCTGCGACTACTTCTTATGTCCCTTCAAGTTATTTCCAACATATAGCAACACACTACCATGAAACTGAAAATATGTGTCTCACCGTCACCCAGTAGGTTTCCATGGCCAAACCTTAATCTCCTGTCACAGTCCAATACTCAAAACCACTACATTATGCTAGCTCTCATAAACAGAATTTATGCCATTATATAAATCATGAAGAGGATTCCAGCTTCTGTCTACACACACAGTTTGTGTGTGTGATGGATTAATACCACAGACAACACATGTGCATAAATAATTGTAAATGTATATGGGCATGACTATACAATATATTTTAAATATAGTGAATATCATCCCTTAATTCCGAACCCAGGTATCTCTCCATAATATATTCAGCTGCCTGGTTTCAAATTAAACCTTGAATTCTTTGTATGCTTCTAACCCTTGTATTAAAACAAGGATTTACAATTACCGCTGCAAGGGACCACTTATGCAGGAATCTGGGACCAACTTAAAACACCTCATGAGCCTAACCAAGATCATATTTATTGATTTCCCCTTAGAATCATAGATGGGCTATCTAGTCCAATGCCCTGCCATTCAGGAAAAGGACAAAGTACCCCTGACAGATGGCCATCCAGTCAATTTAAAAGCCTCCAAAGGAAATTCCATCACACCTTGAGGCAGTGAATTCCCTGTTGAACAGCTCTTACTGTTGGGAAGTTCTTAATGTTCAGGTGGAATCTCCTTTCCTGTAATTTGAACCCATTGCTCCAAGTCCTTGTCTCCAGGTTAGCAGAAAACACACATGCTCCCTTTTTCTTATGACATCTTTTCAAATATTTATACATGGCTATAATGTCTCCTCTCAACTTCTCATCTGCAGGCTAAACATGTTGTTGTTTATTCGCTCAGTCATTTCCTATTCTTCATGTCCTCATGGACCAGCCCACGCGAGCTCCCTGTCAGCTGTCACCACCCCCAGCTCCTTCAAGGTCAAGCCAGTCACTTCAAGGATACCAAGGATACCATCCATCCATCTTGCCCTTGGTCGACCCCTCTTCCTTTTTCCTTCCATTTTCTCCAGCATAATTGTCTTCTCTAAGCTTCTTTCCTGTCCTCTCATTATCTGGCCAAAGTACTTCATATTTGTCTCTAATATCCTTCCCTCCAAGGAGCAGTCTTGGACGTACTTCATCTGGCTCTGGAGACTTGAATTCATTTAATTCCTGGATGACTTCTTTACCTATTTTGGGTTGCATTTCCCCTATTACCTTGTCCGTTCCATATTGCTCAGATCAAACACCAATCTCTTTTTGGAAGAAGACTGAGGCAAAGAAGGTGTTGAGCAGCTCTGCATTTTCACTACCCCCAGTCAGCATTTCACTATCTTCTCCATGCAGAGAGCCTACCATTTCCTTGTTCTTCCTTTTTCTACTGACATAACCAAAGAATCCCTTTTTCTTGTTTTCAACTTCTCTGGCAAGTTTGAGATCATTTTGCACCTTAGCCTTTTGGCCCTTTTCTCTACATGTGTTAGTTATTCATTTAAATTCCTCTTTGATGACTTCCCCTCTTTTCCATTTCTTGAACATGTCTCCTTTAAATTTTGGCTCAGCTGAAAGTTCCTTGGACATAAATTGTTTTCTTTACACTTATTTTTCTTCTTGCTGGCACTTCTAGTGACAAGGCCTGCAGAAAACTGTTGTGTTGTCTCTAGGTAAACTTTAACAGCTAAAGCAGAAAGCAACATGCTTATTTTATATTGCCTTGCATTCAGAAAGCTAAGTCAGAAAGGAAAGAAAGAATTAGGTCTTGTTTTTATATCAGTGCAATAACTCTGCCATAGAGCTATAGTAGGACTGCTATATTATCCACAGTACTAGTACCCATGGTTTCATTGATCCTTGCTAACAAAATATGTCCTCTACATCTTCCAATTTAACTATGATATTCTTGGTGCAAAAGTCCTTTGTTTCAATAAAGTTCACAATTATTTGTTTCATGTATCCTGCCAAACTCCCAAAACATATCACACAGAGATATGGGGTTTGTAATGTATATGTTGTGGAACACAGAGCAGAATCCTAAATGTTCCAAATCTGGAAAAGCTCCTTGATAGAAAGGAAAATGTGAACTTGAGAATTACTAGTTTTACTTCTTGAGTCCAAGTCAAAAATTACAGATGGCTTACAAATTATGATTAAATTCCATGATGGAATGTCCTTAATAAATGTTTGAGAACTCTGTAAATGGAAGTCTTTTAATTTTTGCACATCAAACTGATATTACTCTGAAATTCGAAAAAATACATGCTTACATTTTCTACAGAAATTACACCAGAGGTATGTTTGGTATATGGTTTGGCCCTTAAAAACAGGCATTGCAAACAAATAATGATCACATTAATGAATTTCATTTGTTCCTAAAAACGTTAAAAATATGAAGGAACTACAGAATGGTTGCTCTGGATGATGCAGAACAATATTGAAGATTAATAAGTGAAGCACTTGGGTTTTTAAAGGGGAAATTCCGGTATTGGGAGTTGTTGAGCCACCAGCAACATTTAAATTCTTTCATCCTTCCAGGTGCGGTGACATCCTCCTTGCAGTTAATGGCAGAAACATCTCAGGAATGGTGCATGCCTGTTTGGCAAGGATGCTAAAAGAACTAAAGGGGAAAGTTATTCTAACCATTGTATCCTGGCCTGGTACTTATTTATGAAGACATCTTTCGTTTGGAGTGCAAGGAATCACTTGACACAAAACCTGCCACCTAATAAGGACATCTATTTACTCCACTTTCTGCTCAGCTATTTGCTTGCTAAAGAAAAAGGTGTGAAGTTTAAATGTGCATAAACACAAACAGAATGCTTCTATGAAAAAAAAATGCTTTGGTGTGTTAGAGAAAACCACGCACTTTCTAAACATGGAAATACACTAAGACTATAAGTCAGGGTACACATGCTGCTCTTTGTCTCATGTTTGTATTTTTATATTCAATCAAAGCAGCAGTAGTATGTTCCACCTAGTATTAATTTTTTAAAAAAGAAACAACTTTAATATCCTATCTGAAGGTTTCCCCAAAAACCTCTTGAATAACTGTTGCAATACTTTTCTAATCATTACGTTGACAGCATTTATTCACAACATAGAACTTTGATGATTACATGAAATCCCCCCTTTTTGTGGTTGGTATGAATCAAGTATTTTTAATTATGTTGTTTACTAGTGTGTAATAACTGTGAATTAAATTTAATTTCTACTGTCAAAATACTGTAATTGTAATTTGTAAGGCCGGGTTCTTTTCATTAAAAAAGCACAAGAATACACATTTATCCTAATGACATCAGCTGTTTTGTATCAGAGTTCTGCTTATTTTACATTTTTTGTGTATCTCCTTTGCTGGGCTGGTTCTGAATAAGCATGGCAATGTCAGGAAGTATTAGGTATAGTGAACTACTTATAAAAGCCGAGAAAGTAAGAATAAAGAACCAGGTTTATTGGTGCTGAGATCTAAGGCTAGACAGCTTCCACAGACTTAAGGAAGCAAAGCAGCACTATAGACTGACAGACATACTCACAGAGGCCACTGCAACATCACAATGCCCCAAACTTATAAATTCAAATATACAGATAAAAGGAAAAAGGTTTAAATTATATTAGTTTCAATTTTGTTCCTCTGGATTAAAAACTACATGAAAAGTATGTACCCGAAGAACTGAACAAAATGATGGTTCCAATTCATTCTTCCAGAATCTTTAAAGGGGTCACACGGAATTTCTCCAGTTTGTGGTGTAATCAGTTTCTTTAAAATATTCTGCAGAGTGATGAAGCCTAAATGAACTGTGCTTAGGATTTCAACACAGCAGTTTTCCATGTACACTTTTTCACTCAATATAATATCCCATGTATGAATATAATCTGGTTTTCACACATACCTTTACATTTCTAGATGTATAAGCAAGACAAAATAATGTGCTTTAACATGAAAAAAATCACTCTTTTTATTTTCAAAAATCCAAATTAAACTTAGGGGTTTTTTTGTACTAACAGAACAAGATTAAGAGCAATGTTTTTAAGATCCAGAAAAAAATAATTAGATTTAGAGCAATCTATTTCTGGCACTAATATAAGCAAGTAGGCAAAGATCACACATGCCTAGTCTGCTGAAGCAGCTTCAGTGTTTTCCTGTTCAGGGGCAGGTTCCCCACCACCTGTTTCTTTTCCTTCTTTGCTCTTTTTTGATTTTTTATGTTTGTGCCTCCTGTGGCTGTCTCCCTCTTCACTGTCATGGCGACGCCTGCTGTTACTAAGAGAAAGTAAAAAATAAAAAACACAGGGAAAAAACAGAAAAAAGCTATTAAATTACATGTAAAATGTAGTGCCAGCCTGCTATTTCTAAAACCTCTGACACCACAAAGCTAATTACTTAGTACATAAAGTAGTATCATCATAAAATTAAAACCAGAGCCAGACTGAAGAAAAACACTGTCTGTATTAAAATTGACCATGATTCAATTTTGTAATATTTACTTTAGAGTAGGATCTGGTAGCACATTTGGCTCCTAGAACTGTTCCATCGCAACATAAAATTGATTTTTTCAATAGTGACATAAGAGTTATTCTACCAATGAAAGTTGATATTTTTAACCAAGTTCTGTCCTGGTTTCTAGAGGAAGCCTTAAAATAGGTTTACTGAATGCTTTCCCAACTTTTTCCTTATTTTACCACAAGTATTCATTCCAAGAGGTTAAACAAATCATCTTTGTCCACTCTACAATGATCTATAGATAATATGATTTTGACTTTTAGTTTTCCTTTTAACACATGAAAAGAAATAGAGGACCTCAATTGATTCAATCTGTGTATCAGAACCAGCAGCTAGGATTGGCCACTTTTCAGGCAATTGTCCAGGCCTTAAGAAGACCCACCGAGGAGTACTTGATGCAATGATTAGCAGGACAGACCTCTTACTCTAACCATTATTATCCAAGATGGCAGAAAACTTTCCACCATTTCAAATGGACAAGCAGAAGACACTGCTTTGCTTACTCAGTGGATCTGTCTGACAGCACACTAGACTTAATCTCAACATCCAGAGAGAGGTTATGGCTACGCCTCAGTTCTCTGCCAGAAGTGTTCACTAACATTCTGAAGATCAACTAAAATCTTTAATTGGTGGAAAAATCCATTTTCCATTGCCTTTGATTAAAATTCTATTTCTATACTGATCATATGAAAGAAGAGTGAATGCTACACAACTTTTGCCTGTATTCTGTTTTTAAATCACAGCAATCCAAAAGAAGCACAAGACCAGCCAATACTACTCCAGATACTTTTAATTATCCTCCTTTTGCCCCACAAATGTATTAAAAAGCTAACCTTCGTGATGACTTGTGTCTTGTCTCTTCCTTTTCTCGATGTCTTCTTTCTCGGTGCCGCTCTTCTTTCTCTCTGCTTGTTCTATGCCGCTCATAGCCTCTATCTGCATATTCTCTGTACCTATAGCGTTCTTCATCACTGTTCAAAACAAAATTAAAAATACTTCCAGTAAGCAAGAAATTTAAAAAGCACTGCTAAATACCCTTAGTTTCCCCCGTATCTATTTTAAAATGGTGATGTGGTTAGAGGGAGCTTTCCATATCCAGTGAAGTACAATTCTGAAGGACTGTTCTATTTCAGAGGGAATATGGAAAATACATGGATGCTCTACCTCTGGTGTAAACCAATCACCTGCATGTTGGCAAAAGAGAACATATTTCTCTATTTCTGTTCTACGACAAATTTTCAAAGAATAACTTCATTTTACCCAAAGAACATGAGCCACTACAACTCAAGTTTAGATCACTATTATGCTTTAAACTTATTTCTAAGGGGAAATCTAATTCCTTTGTCATATATCAAACTACTTTTGAAACTCTACAGTCTGAAAAGTAGTTTACCATATTATGTATACACATTAGTTGATGTTAGAGAGAAAGGTAAATGTTTTGTACTCATAAACTAAGTTAACATTTCTTCACATTTAGTTTTTATTTCCAAGCAGACTATAGTTACGATTACATTTATATGCACAAATCTAGAAATCTGAAGGTTTGCAGGAATAATATGGAGAAGTATACCATTACACCAGGAACATATGGTGCTGTAAATGTGGAACTGCAAAAGCCACGATCCCTTATCATGCGCTAAGGCTGCTGACAGTCACAGTACAACTATCTCTCAGAGAGCAAAAAATTCCAAATCTTGCATTTAACCTCAAAGAAACCATCTTACAACACCCATCTTTCATGAGTAAACATTTTAATTGAATTTCACTTATTTGCTTTAATTTTATCCAGCTTCTCCCCCAACATAGGGACTCAAGGTGGCTAATAATAAATATATAAAAAAGCACTTCCTATAAATGCAACTACAGACTTCTGGCATGTGCTCATTCATTTCCAAAACTCATTAGGATAGTAAGAGCTCATCCAGCTATTCTGAGGGAAGCATACATTGTTATAGCCTTAGCAGAAAATGTATTCCACAGTTAACTTGTGCAGCACGTGCTAAGGCAAAATGGTAAACAGATTTTTTTAAACATAAGGGTTAAGCCAGTTATGTGAGGTCAGTATGACAAACTAGCTAGTTTAATCTGAACTGAAAACTGGTTTGGAGCTATTGCAACAAAGTGTACGAATCAATTCAGTCATATGACAGCAAATCCATGCTGGTGCACTAGGATGTCTATGGCTGTAAAGACCACAGCAAATCAAGTCCCACTGGCTACTTTAAAATATAGCAACATGTTGAGAACTGTTTTGGTGATGTGAAAAACAGACTACACATTTCATGCTTTAGGATTTAACCATGAATTTTTATTCTCTACAAACACAAAGAGGCTCTTGGTACCCCATTGTTATGGTACTCACAAAGGAGTATTTCCTGGAAATTATGGTGTTTTACTCAATTTATCAAAAAAGTGTTTACAAAAGCCACTGGGCAGTTATTAAAACAAAGACTATTAAATGGCGAAACAATATCTGTTCAAGAGTGTCATATCTGAAGGATCTGTAATTCATAAACCTCCCACTTTCTATGTCACTCCTGTAACCATTTTTTAAATGAGGCTAAGGACCGCCTGATTTCTCACACAGCTATGTGGCAGCAGCTTTACTGCAGATGTCAGATAATTCGGTCACATAGCCTCTTCCCTCCTCCCTTACTGATAAGTTTGGCAGCAACACAGAGACTTCTCCAGGTCTGGAAATCATTAAGGATCATTTCAAGCACCCTTGAATGACCAGCCTTTTTCTGGCCTTCAATCAAGCTCCTTAAAAACAGATGTTAAATTGATCCTAACATCTAAGACACTGACCCTACAATTTATAAGAAAAAATATACATTAACTATAGAACACTGCCGCAGAAAACTGCATATGAACAAAGGGGTATACCATTTTAATGCCTAAATATAACTCTACGCTACTTCTATGCTTCTAAGGATATTAACATGCACCCCCAAACTGGATTAACTAAGACAACAGTGACTTCATTATGCTCTTCTTGGGCAATATGAAAATATACATTATTTACACCCTATTTGTGGACATAACATGTTAAAGTTAAAGAATGAAAGAAAATGATTACAAATAGTGTCAAGATATTTTCAAATTAGAAGCATTCATCACAGTCTCCGTGCAAAATAAATGGAATGCCTAGCTGCATAAGCAAGAGAGGAATGTTAAAATTTAACACAAGAAAGCATTCCTCTATCCTGATTAACAGGATAAAGGCTGGATTGTGGATCTATTAGTAAGCATTTAACAGCAAGCAGAACTCTTACTCTTTATGTCTGCAAAAGAACACTAACTGAAGGTTTGAAAATTCATCTTAGAAGATGTCTCTCTGAAGACTGATTTTGAGAAGAGGCTTTGCACAACCAGTAAAGAGCATTATGTGCACACATCTCAATACAAAGGTGCCCTACCCTTTACTACCTCATGCTGTTTAAGCTACTGGTTTCCAAATATGGCTCAATAAGCAGCACAGATGCTCAGACAACAGAGGACAAGCAGTAAAGCAAAAACTTCCCATGCACACAGATGTAGTAAAATAACTTTGGGATCATGTTCAGGCACCAAACATTTAATAAAAAAAACGGACATAAGAACTATTAGATACTAAGTTCCATTATGATTATGGTATAAATATGGCTTTTTGGTTCACTTTTACTTAAATGATAATGGTAGTGCCTTGGCCGAACAAAAACTAAATGAATTGAATTACAATATGAGGACAAATATAGATACACTCAATCACCATCCATGCTATTCTGAGTTTGAGACTAAATGCTTACTCCTATACAAATGAACATATAAAAGAAATAAATATTGCAACGATTTTATACTGGGTAAAACGTCAAGCAAACTAGGCTAATCTATGAATCTTTTGAAATGCAACTAGCAGCAAGAATATCTCTTCCTAGCAATAAAAAATGAAAGAAAATAATCTTAAAAATTGTCTTTGTTTCAGACACACTTTTTACTTTTGAACCTATGGTTTGTATTTGAAACAACTGATTATGCTTTTAATGTAAGCCACTTTGAGTCTACTTTGTGGAGAGAAAAAGCGGTGTATAAATAAACATAATAAGATTATGATTATGGTTAACAACAACAACAACAACAACAACAACAACAATTGATTCCTCAACAATAGGCAACAGGTAACTCAACCCTTTTTGTAGGACAGGTTTTAAGTGTGCTTCTAGTACAGATCACCATAATGCAGCATCAGAATTAGCCCCTCACACTCACCTGTTGAACACACTAGGAGTTGGACTATGATCACGCTCCCGCTCCCTTTCACGAGTACGTTCTCGCTCCCTGTCCCGATCACGGTCCCTTTCTCTATCTCGATCTCTCTCTCGTTCTCGATCTTTATCTCTTCGTGCATAATAATCCCACTGTTTGCTTGAATCCATGAGACTAGACCATGCTGGGGCAGAACCTGCAAGGTGCGGAAAAGTGACTAAAGAAAAAAAAATGCTAGCATTAGAAAGCAAAAAAAGAGAAGAAGCTATAAATATTGAAAAGTGTACTTCGAATTATACTTGAAATTAATTAAATCCCATTTTACAAGTTTATCTGAAACCTAAAATGCAAAGTCAAAACCTCTGGGTATTTTGTCTGCATGTTATTATCCAGTTGTCAAGTCTGAAGTTAGTTTCAAATAAAATAAGGTAGTTTGAACAACGAAATTTTAAGAATCAAATAGGTTTCCCCCTGGCAATAATCACAATAATAAATACAAATGTACTACCCAAATAATCTGCTTCCCTTCGTTATTTTAAGTTTACAATATGAATTCCTGTACTAAGTTTTGTCTCAAGTTTTAACCAGTTTGAAGCAATATGTTTTTCAAATACTGGAAATCAACAGTGAACAAAAAAACCCCTACCTCGCTTATTAGATATTGCACATTTTAAACTGAAGTATATGGACACAATAATAAAAACTATTTTTATTTTCTGGACAATAATAGGGAAATAAATAGGACAATCTATTAATTTGAGAAATCTAAAAAGGAAAAGGGTAGGGTTTTTTTCACTAAAGAATACATCATCCCTATCAATTTAAGACTTCCAATAAGAAGTTTAAATAAGAAGGGAAATTTAACTGACAATTAGATGGAGAACTGTAGCATGTTGTCCTATGACAGAACAACTTGGAAATAAGAAGTTGCGCAGAAAAGCAAGACCTTAGCTAAGCAATGATGCCCTGTGTATGTGTGGACCGTTTTGTGCATTTATACAATTATCGATAGACCCCAACCACTGTTTTTTAATATATGAATAAATAATAAAGACATAGAAATTTTGTAGTTACTAAACAGAACTACAAAAAAACCAGTCAGATTAACTCAGTACATTATAGTGAACTGACATAGTGCATATATGTCTCTCCAGCAATACAGCAATGAGTTGCGTAATGTTGGAAGAAAAAGATATAATCAATGTAAAGACTGCATAAATTCAAAACAATAAATTCAATACTCTATGGTCTGTTACTGGTTAGTCTGCAGGAGTATAGCATTGCTCAGCAGTTATTTCATTTCTCAAAAGTAGTATGTTATATTTGACTGGATTTGTTTCAACCTAAAACAGGTTTGTCTCATCCCCACTTTAACATTAATCTCTGCTGTCCAGAGAAGTCACTCTGTGAACTTATTTTCAAGTGGCACCTATCACTAAATCAGCCTTATTCAAGTAATTTGGCACTTTCGATATAGATAACACTGTGTAACAACATCTGAAAAATAATTCTGTTCCTGGTTTGAAAATGTTATTTCCTGTTTCATTTTGTGGTACTTACTTTGAAAGTAGTTGTTATACTTCAGAAACTTCATTTTTGTGGCTGCCTTTTTAAACATTTCAATGTGAGATTTTTAACCTTTTGTGCAGACCGCTAAAACCAAGTTTTTGGAGTTTAATAAACCTTTTCCATGATTGTATCATGGACCCAATTGGGAAATGACATTTATAACCCAGGAACAAAAATTGTGTTCCATAGTGTAATTGGAAGGAAAATCATAGGGTTAATGGAATTTCTAATAATTCTTAGTCTTAAATTGATTTGATTCATTGTTCATGACTTCATAAGATGAAAACAAGTAACATCCAGTATAGCATGGTATTTGTAGATACTCTGGGCAGAAAAAGGTAACAATTTTTATATTCACATTGTTTGAAAGAGACCGCAAAACAAAACTCGGGTATGCAAGTTTGAATCAGCGCTCTCAATGTGATTTAAAATGTCACTTTCAGAAAAATCTTCTGTACTCTCCATAAATGTGTTTTTGAATAAATTGTGTAGATTACCTATTCTGAAACAATTATGTCCATATGTACAGTTTCCTGTTATTGCAAAAACTTTTATACTGAAAGAAAACAAACTGTTGCAACTAGCCTCTGTGTGTGCTTCAAATTACATACAAGATAGCAAAGAGATCTGCAAGACTTTCTAGCAGATTCACTGAACAACCACAGATTTTGAAAACAGCCTTCCCATCATGTGTTTAATTAAAGAAAGACTGAACATATCTTACTGTTTGAGCACAGAGAACAAATGTGGAAGACCCCCTGAAATGTGCAAGACTAGGAAGACAGAAAACTTGAGCACACACACATCAAGACATCTGCTTCTCATGGACAAAGTCATTTTGATCATCATCTTTTTTTTGTTATGCGAAGCAAAATTCTAGTCTATTCATTCACAACCAAGTGCCCCTCCCATTTTACTCTAGTCTTGCAGTCAAGAATTCTTAGTCGCCATACACCCCAGCACATTTTTAATGTTCATATAAACTAGAGAAAGGAGAGAATGGGCACTAGGATAAGGTAACTCAAGTGATCACCAATTGCTGTCAATAAAAACCAGATTCAAGCCAAAGGTCTCCAACATTTGGAAATAATTACTGCCTGCCTATTCCTGAGGGACAAATAAAACCCAGATTAAAATGTTTGTTTGAGTATATTTTTATTTTCAGTATGTGCAAAACTTAACTATCCAACTGAAAGATGGGGAGCTGGAATCAAACTGCATTTCAATTGCTTGGGTGTGCCGTGTCCCATAAGGCATTTCTTTGCTTACCAGAAAGCTGCCAGTAATTTATTTTCAAGCAATAATTCTGTACACTTTGCGTACTCTTTGTATGCAATAAATCTTGGATATTAAATCAATACATATTAAAATAAAGTTTAAATATATCAAGGTGAAAACAAGAAATCCATATGTAAGGGCAAATATAAGTAAAAGAATACAATACACAAGTATATTCCAATTAAAGACCAGTAACATAAGCATAGCTTAGAGGAATGGCATTATTAACATTGAAAACACTTACCACCACCATATGGAAATGCACGAGCTGAGCGGCCATCAAAACCAGAGGAATGTCCACTGTTGGATGAGAAGTCAGGTCATCTTATTAGTAAATGTACTATTCAGAACATATAACTTTTTGCAATCTCTGTAAGGTGGGATGTTGAAATGCTCTAAGCAAAATTGTAGTATTTCCCAAGACATTTGGGGCTAATATTTATGAGCTCCCTTGCAGATGCTCTGTTGATCACTCTCACCCTACTCTAATAAGCTAGTCATGTAGGAAAAAGAATTGGATCATACACAGATCACCACAATACAGTATTTTTACCACCCTTGTAGCCCCAACATGGAGGGATTTCAGTTTCTTCCTCAAGCAATAGACTCTCTGTTTGACTGAGTATTATCAACGATTATACACAAGTAGAAATGCTTATTTTGCAGACTAGCAATGACAAACAATGACAAGCTATGTCTGCTCAAAAGATTAGATAGGTTATTTTGCTCCAAAATGTTTTAAACCAGAAGTTAGAATTGTGTGATTTTTCAGGCCCATACAGTAGGACAGCAACTCCCAGTATTTTTCACTATTAGATAACATCTGGAGCCCTACAAGGGGCTTTAAACAATCTATTTTAGACATATCAATTGAATAACAATTGATTAGAAGAAAAGTCAGGATAAGGCAGCACCTCATATGTCGTATCTGATGGCTTCCTATTTGAACAGAAGTTCAACTTTTAAAAAAGAGAACACCTTCTGTGCAGATGTGTGCTGTGACATCTGACCACAGTGCCCTGACTTGTTCCTTCCCAAAAAGGCAAAGAGATAACCTATGGTATATTTTATCCCCTTGTCATCTGGTGACTGAGAAAGCAAACTGTCACATTTCGGAATGTATATAGTTTATTGTACCTGAAGAAAAGCAATGCATGACTGGCGGGAAAAATGAACAGGTTTCCTATGTGAATATGTATTGTTCTCAGACACTCAAATGTACCCAGCAGGCATAAAATAGTGTTCTTTTACACCACTTTGGTACAGCCTTCTTCGGGATGGGAAGAATACTTGGAAGTATTTGAAAAATCAACAAAAACACAATTTTTGAGCATTTAGAACCCTTGCTGATAAGAATCCTGAACTGATACGAATCTTTGAAGTTCGGGGTTTATTCTGTGTAAAACTGCACGTGATTGTTTTGTACAGAAAAAAAGGATTTTCTAAGGAGAAAACATTTTTTGTGTGGAAATCAACATTTCAACACAGAAAGACCAAATCCTGTACTTTAGATGCTGTTATCTATGTATAAAATCTTATGACGGGGGGGGGGGGGGGTCTGTTCTGCATAAAACTTGCACATAATTTGCATAGAAAACATTTTCTCCAAATTTCTCTGCTGAAATATTATTTTCAATGGAGAAAATTCTGTTTTCTGTGCAAAACAACTTTATGCCATTTTTGCACAGAATACCTTGCCACTACCCTTGCCACTACCCTAAATTTCAAGAAGAAATTTAGTGAAGAATTATATATATAAACTTGATCAATCATCCCTCTAAATGCAAATAGCATCTGAGGGAGACTTTTGGAGGACAAGAAGGCACTGTATCAAAAAGGTAAGTCAAGGAGAAACTCTAGTGTGTAAAAGCCCACGTATGTCTTTGACAAAAAACTTTTTCTTTCTTTCTTCCTGTTTTAGTGTTAAATATACTGGATGTAGAGACAATTAGAACTTAAAGTGGTTGAGAGGCTTGTAAAGCTAGAAGTAAGATTTTACGAGGAGCACAATAATGGAAGTACAGTTTCTATGATGTTAGATTGTTTTCTAAACAGGAACGCACCTTTCTATTGTTGGTATAAGAGATGGTGGTGGCCCTCCAGGTGGGGGAGGAAAGCCTGAAAATTTTAAATGAGAAATCAACGAGTTGGTTTAGATTATTATTACAAATTAATTTTTTTTAAATCCAGAGTAATATGCAAATTAAGACCAACTTAGGCAACAATGAATCACAGATGTGAAATATTCAAAACCAGACCTGCAACAATCCTATTCAACTATATAGTTAAATATCTATGTATCTGATGGCATTGTTGAATTATTTATTACATATAGGCAGTAAATACCATTCTGAATATGATTGCTTTTCCCCAAGACAAATGTATTGTGTTGTAAACGATGGAAGTAATGAAATGCCATACCATAAAAGGAAACCACATTATTTTTCAAATTACTTCAAAATACTTTTAGAACAAATAAATATACCTGGTGGTGGCACTGTTATTGGTATACCTAAAAACAAAAACAAAAAAAATGCACCCAGTCATTTAGGTAATGCATTTATATTGATACTCTCATGTCCACATTTTCAGAATAGGCATCATGGCATTTATGTCAACAACACAGAGCAAATAAAAGCTGGTGGTAAACTAAGTTTGGTTAGTATTAGTCTACAGTGGCTCTGATTCAGTAACGCTTTAGTAGAAGTCTACACAAGCAGCTGAAATCTAACCCAACTATAATATGGCATTTTAGTTATTGAAAGTGAAAAAAAATTAACTGCATGCACTCAAGCTGATCTGTATGCACTTGAAGGGTTCTCTGGGGTGGGGTCATTGCTTAAAAGCTATTATATATTCAGATCTTCAGAATAAATATTAAGGATATTTTCTTTTTAAAACCATGTGTTTTACAGTAAAATATATTAACCAAATTACAATACAAATCATCTTCTAGAATACAAAGTGGCATTAAATTAAACACACTGCAGAAAATTTACTCTATACATTAAATGAAGTTACATGTAAACAATATGCAGTACAAAGAACATCCAAAATTCTCTTTTTCCTGTAAATGTCTTTCAATGTGCATGCACAATCCAATGCAAAAACCCACCTGTGCCTTTATATCCTCAATGATAACACACAAGATAGCAAATTCAAAATGCAAAATGATAGGTTAATGTTATTAAAATAATATTCAGAGTCTATAAAAAAAGACACAAGACTTACAATACTAACACTAAGGACAAAACTAAATACATTTTTGCTAAAAAGTACTGATAAAAAGGTGAGTACAATCTAATTCAGTCAGAAAAATCTGCATGGATCTAATATGGAGATATGCTCTCTATCACACTCAACAAAAACAAATGATACAGAAAAAAATCCCAAATGCACTACTTCGCTTTTTCCTGACACTCCTTCCTTGCACATATTTACTAAGTTTAATAGAACAATATATTAACAAAATTATATAAAAATTATATTAAAAAGAGTGGGAGAAACAAAGTAATGTGTTAAAGTATCTCTGAAACATTGTTTTACCCGTTTGCTTTTCAAATGCTCTTCTGACCTTTCTTTGTATTTTATTTGTGGTTCATCTCCAAAATGAGTTAGTATTATTGATTTTAAAAAATGTAAATCAAATAGCTTGTTTCAACAATATCAGAATTAAACAATGATCGGGATTCACACAAGTACTAACAAGTGATTCAGTGGATCTATCTACAAGCTGTCCCTGAGTTACAAACACCTGGCTAGTTACAAATGGGGTGAGACAACAGGAAGTGAGAGGAAATCTATCCATAGAAAGGGAAATTGACTCCTGAGAGTTATGGGAAAAGGTATCTCAACTGAAGCTTTATCAACTGTCTTATTTCCATTACACCCAAAATTTTCAAAATCCAATTATCACGGGGGCAGAAAGTGAGGGGAAATCTTCTGAACAGGGACACAAACAACAAAACAAATATTACAGGGCTGTTAACCCTTCCTTATGCTACAAAAAAACTAAACATTGGTGGGAGTTTAAAAATGTATCTGTTCTGACTTGTGCAACTTAAGAACAAACCTACAGAACCTATCTTGTTTGGAAGTCAGGGACTGCATGGATTTGAAACTATTAAATAATAATAATAATCATCATCATCATCATCATCATCATCATCATCATCATCATCATCATCTTTATTTATATTCTGCCCTATCTCCCCGAGGGGACTCGGGGCGCTTTCCAATAAAGGGCAAACATTCAATGCCTCAGTGGAACTAACATCTGGATTTAGTCCCCTGAAACCATTGTGCTGTTTTCCCCTCTTATGTCATCTATGTTGAATAACCTGATGTTTTGCCTCTTTTTATTCATGGAAATGGGAATGACAGTAATAGATCGTATTTGTAATTATCACACATTAGGGAGCATAGGTTGCTAAAACTGCAATACTGACACAAGTACTTTCCTAAGCCACTTTCCTAAGTTACTATAGATGATTCAATAAAATGATCATTCCTGAAACACTTAGTATTGCCATACTTCTTTTTAAAAAGCCTACAATGAGTGATTCCAGTAGCAACCATATAGATTTCTAGAGTTATGTTTCCCAACAATGACACTTCTTTTTGTCTCACAAGGTATTTGCATCTCAAGCAGTTAAGTGAACACAGCAGAAGAGACCAGGACTTCAAAGCACGATCGTTTTCAAAGGATCTTCTGAGGGATGTTTTCTATTTGAATGCTTAAACTTTTTGGCCAGTAGTTCCAGTTAATATTAGGTAACGAGAAACTAACAAGAAACTTCCCCCCATTCTAAAGTAAAGAGGGATGAGAAGCTTCTATTTTTGTACAAGCTTTGAAGATAGAATGCTGGCAGCAGCACAATTAAAACAAGCCCCAAGGAGCCAAAGCCACTGCTCTTAATGGTTATTTCCAAGTGCTCTAAAAATACAAGAGATAGCAAAGGAAATATATTGGACAGACTCATGTCATAAACCTGTGCAACTGTTACTATTCTTTTTTTTTGCTTCCATCGATATGCCTGCCGGATTATAACACATGCACATTTTATTTAACTTTGAACTTCTGCAGATGAAAGCTTCTGTGAAAATTTAACCATATGTTTCTTTAAAATGCCTTTCACTACAGTGGCTTGGGACAAGGAAAGGAAGCTATCCTTCTGTTATGGAGCAGTTCTACTCAGCAAGGTGGAGAGGCAGTTGCTTCACTCAAGACTTGGGACTGAGTGACAGGAACGGTTTTGAAAGAAACCAATTAAGCAGGGAGTTTTGACCAGGGACTCCATGCAGAGGTTCATAACTGGGTGCAAAAGGCAATGATTCTTTTTCTTTCTCTCCGTTGCTTACGTTTTTCATTCTAACATATATAGGATGGGACTGTCTTTTCAAGCGTTTTTTTCCAAACCTCTCAAAGCATTTGACAGCTCTTCAGTGTGACTCTATGGTACCTTCTGGGGGAAGAATACCATATAACTGCTCTATAGGGTAGAGCAGATGCCTAAAGAGACCATTTCCCCCCAGGTACAGGTAAATGAAAACAAGGATATGGGTTCTGCACTTCCAGGATTCTATTAGATAAACTCAGGGATTTAAGGATACAAATCATGCTCTATTACCTACATTTTATGAGGTCAGGAATTAACAAAATGTATTAAAGGAGTATTACATTTTAATCTTCCCATTCATAAAGTACAAATAATGATTTTTCTCCCCAAGAAAATGAGGGCTAGGTCATAATAGATTGCACACCTGAGAGCAAATAAACATTTTGTAAGCCACTCTGAGTGCCTTTGTGGCTGAAGAGCAGGGTAAAAATTCTCTAAATCAATCAATCAATCAATCAATCAAGTATTCCATGCCATTCATTTAAAACAATAACGTTTTGCTCATCATTTTTAATTTACACAAAAATAAAAGATGGTAAATAGCTAGAGATTCTAAACTACAAGGATCAAAAGATATGATACACAAACATAAGGTAAATCATATAAAAGCAATTAAACATTAAAGAAATACCTGGGCATTTTGGATCTGGACAAAGTCCAAAAGTTAGTGCCCTTTTAAAAACAGAAATATGTTGAAATGAAGAATATAGTATATGAATTATTAGGTGGACAATTAGTAAAAAAAATCCTAAGTGTTTTATGTGCTCATATTTAGCATTGAAAAATCAGGTTAGGTTGCTAAAAAATTGAACACTTGTGTCTTTGTGTACTATGACAAATATTTTGGACCAGCTATTTAACCAAGTGACCGCTTCTGGCCTGACCTCTACTCCCAAATATGACGGACATATCATGTACCCATACACTGATCACTGGCAGAATGGACCAACCTGTATGCCCATTAAAATAGGTTGGGGTGGAGTTATGATTGTGGCAATACTATCACAATAGTGACTAAATAGTGATTGTTAATATGAAACAGTTACAGATGAGTAAATCTAGGTAACTCTTTTATATTCCCAATAACTACTTAAGTCACAATTGTGACACTACTGTCACCATTATTCCTCCCCAAAAATTTCCCTCTCAAAAATTAACCTCACTTTACTGGGATATTGCTGACATTAATGTAAATAACGATTTGTGGAAAATACTCCATTATGTTCTGAAAAATATACACATCAGGTTGTTGATGAAGAGCATATTACTCAATAATGTTTAAACCTGAATACTAAAAAGAAAAATCTGTAAATGTTGTATTCTGTAATGTTCAATTTTACCACCAAGTTGCCAGCTAACAAAAATATACTTCAATGAATTGATTTACTTTGTTTTTATAATAATATCAGTAATAACAAAAAGGAATACATTCTTACCAAAAGGAAAACATGTATTATTTTAACAGTAGCTGCATGACACATCATGTGTACGGCATTAGTATGAAAATTTCATACTTATATCTAAAGACATTTATAAAGTAAATATTGTTTTAAAAAATTCCAATGACTTCAACGTTAGTAGCAATTTCCATGTCAACTACTTTTTAAAAAATTAAAGTAGCTGTGAGTCATAGAACTGTGGAGTTGGAAGAGATCTCATAGGCCATCCAATCTAACCCTCTGCCAAGAAGCAGGAAAATTCCATTCAAAGCACCCCCGACAGATGGCCATCCAGCCTCTGTTTAAAAGCCCCCAAAGAAAGGGCCTCCACCACACTCCGGAGCAGAGAGTTCCACTGAACAGCTCTCACAGTCAAGAAGTTCTTCCTAATTTTCACATGAAATCTCCTTTCCTGTAGTTTGCAGCCATTGTTCCATGTCTTAGTCTCCAGGGCAAAAGAAAACAAGCTTGCTTCCTCCTCCCTATGACTTCCCTTCACATATTTATATATGAAAAAACTGGGTGCAATTTCAGCTGGTAGTCTTTACTGAATCAGATTCTGTTCTAAGATTGGCAAGTACCAGCCTTTATATAAAATAATATATTATGTAATGCAAACTCATCAAAACAAAGGCCTGTCATCCAAAAAGAGAATGAATAAAAAAGGCCTAGTATGAAAAGACAATAGATTAAATCCAGCTTTAGTTCCAATAAGAACAAGCTCACTGAAATAAAAAGGATTTATTAATCAATGTCAACAAAACCCTATTGATTCCAATGGGTCTACTCTAGTTTGACTTAAAACTAGTTCAGGCTAAAACGGGATTTATGAATAGGTAAGTGTAAATATCAACAAAAAAAAAGAGAAATAACTGTGTGAAAATAGAAGAAATAAACTAAATTTTTCCAGAAAACGATAACGATGAAAAAATTTACAGAGCATCAAAAGTGCAGTTTCACGCCGAAACCAAATGAGTAAAAGAGAAAGACCACAAAGGTATGCTATTCTTTTTCTCTTCTCTGCTTTTACCTGGAGGAGGAATCAGAGGCGGGGCAGTACTGACAGACGGTGGCGGTGGGAGAAAAGGAGGAGGTGGAAGATGAGTAGGAGGAGCTCCTGGAGGAAAAAACGGAGGGGGCTTGGAAAAACCACCATCCACTTCAGTACTGGAGCGATCAGAAAGAACCTAGAAAATAAAACCGAAAAATTTTCTTTAGAAAAAGTGGAGAAAAAAAACAACACTTTCCCCGCATTAAATAGCAACTAAAAGTTTTTTTTAATTATAAGAAGCAGAAATATTTACCTTCTAACACTGAATGGCTAAAGCACAAGATTCTTGGCCTAATTTAACTAAAGTACATCTGCACAAGAATAATGAAACCACAAGGAGATTTTCTCTGTGAGAATTTTTTAAGTACAGTATTCCTGTCTGAGATAAGAAATCACAAGAGAAACCTCCTGCACAACAAAATGCTTCCTTTTTTAAAAGGAGGAATCCACTGACTTTTTGTATATTTATATCATCAGCAAATGACATGATTACAGTGATCTTAAGTTGTACTTGCTTTCTTTTTATTATGTATCAAGGATAAAATGCAGATTTTGTTTCTTACAAAGTATTCATGCTAGTTAGTGACAGAAAAATAAAATACACACTCTATACTACTTATTAACACCAAAAGTGTATAAAGTGTATCCAGAAAATAATGTTGCTCAAAAAGTAGAGGTTAATACAAAAAATAAGGAAGTTGTCATAGCTGTGTGCTCTATTATTACATTTTGTTCCAAAATGGGTGGCTTCAGATAGAAAGTATCACTTATGTGAGCATATGTAATGAAATACACTATATATTTGGGTTGGGAGGGGGAATTGGTTGGTCTCCACTTCTCAAACTAAGGAACATGTGTCTTTTGCCTATATCAGTGGGTAAATCTCTGAATTATAGCCAGACTTCTGACTATAATTCAGAGATCTACCCACTGATATAGGCAAAACACACAAGTTCCTTATTTGGCAAGAAGCAGAAAAGAGAAACACAACTGCTTTCCATTGAACAAAATTGGAAAATAAATTTTATATATAGCCCTGAGATATTTTTTTTAAAAAGTGAAACCAAATTCTGTATATAAACTCAAGCTAAAAAATGAGATGTCTGTTAATCCACTAATTAACATATTAAAAACAAACATAAACCTGTATGTTGCTGTTTTCATTGGCACGACGTCTTCCTTCTACTCGGCTGATTGTGATAGTCTGTCCAATCACATCTATAGCGCCAGCAAGCCTTCTGAAAAAGAAATATGTATCTAAGAAAAATGGTACACATGAACAAGAAAATAATCAGCAATAATACTCAGAAAAATGTTTTTTCCTTAATACATTTAAGTGTTTATAGGATTCAGTATGATTTTAATTAAGAAATATAATGAGCTGAAGTGTTTCTTGTAACTTTACTTATAAAGGAAAATGTAATGATTTTCTGCTTCAAAAGAAAGTAACTGAAACATTCAGCACACAAGATACTGTACCTAAAACCTCTTCACAAGTATGAAAATTAATATTTTAAAAGAAAAGATTTTAAGAAATATAAGATACCTTTGGGGTTTTATTGAAAAGCAAAAACTTGATATAGCGGTCGTGGAGCTGGAAATAGTAGTAAACCAAAACGCTAATATTAAGTAATGGAGAGAATAAAAAGATACCACTTTGAACATATCCAATCTCCTTTGAATTAAAAAGCTAAGCAAGATAAACCCTGGTTAACATCTCAATAGAAGACCACCAGGCTATACTACTGCCTCTCGGTAGATTATGGAAGATTTCTAGGGAGCCACTATCAGTCATAGTTGATAAAACTAGTCAAGATGGACCAAAGATTTTAGTCAGTATATGACAGCTTTCTGTCATCTTTCACTTCTACAGTAGTGTTTCAAAAATGAACACTGTTAAGCAACTATTTCTCTTGAAATCCCACATGAAGAAATGGTACAAAGCGCTGAGTCAGGACCGTCATATATTTTTTGCAGGCACTGGGCTGGCAGAAGTTACGGTGTTATTGCTCCCAATGTAACTCTAAAGGTAAAGGTTTCCCCTGACATTAAGTCTAGTCGTGTCCGGCTCTGGGGGTGGTGCTCATCTCCATTTCTAAGCTGAAGAGCCAGAGTTTTCCATAGACACTTCCAAGGTCATGTGACTGGCATGACTGCATGGAGCGCTGTTACCTTCCCACCAAAGCAGTACCTATGATCTACTCAAATTTGTATGTTTTTTAACTGCTGGGTTGGCAGAAGCTGGGCCTAACAGCGGGAGCTCACCCCACTCCCTGGATTCTAACAACTGACCTTTCAGTCAGCAATTTAGCAGTTCAGTGGTTTAACCCGCTGCATCACCAGGGCACCCAATTTAACTCTACCATCCGAAATAACAGCCACCAGTTCAAAGCAACCCTGATTAATTTCAATATCTTCAGCTGATATTCACACATATTCTCATATTAAGATGGAGCAATGCTGCTTATAAAGACAGAACAAGGAAATGGGAAGAATTATTGTAAAATCAGCAATTTTGTCTCAATTGCAAAACTTTCCAAATCTACTGAAAGAACCATCCTAATGACACACACAGGAGGAAAACAAACCCATGATATTATTTGTTGGGTTGTTGCAAAACAAATGGTTATAGTTCACATCCCACTGAAGTAAACTGCAGAAGTCCCATACATTTTAACAGGGTGGGACGTCAGCCAAAGAAAGTAAATTAAAATAAAGGCTTCTCTCTCCAAATATGAAACAAAGCCAACACACAAAAGCCCTTTCTCCCTAAAAAAATATGTTTATCTCCCAGTTTTCAGATGCGGGGGGCAGTGTAGGCTTGAGGGAAGACCCCATATAAAGGATGATTTATGCTGATAAAGCACTCAGTATAAAGTATTTAATATATCGTTTCTAACCTAACAAATAAAGAATCAACTTAAGAATCAATATTCTTCCACTTCTAAATAATGCTTCAGCCAAACTAGTGAGATATTCTGACTATAACTGTCTTTCATGTAAACCCATAAAAAATAACAAGTCACAACATTAATCACCATGTCTAAAAATTACAAATGAGTCAAATCAATGCTGGTTTCAAGGAAGGCAAAATTAGTAAGGCACTAACACACAGTTGAAGACACAACCCAAAACGCAAAGCCTTTAAAATCTTCAACATAAGAAAGCATGCAGCAGATGAAATAAAAGAAGCATAGAAGAACAGCAAGCACAGAGGAAAATTGTACTGCAAAATGTTCGTGTCTATAATAACCACAACCACACCACAGATGATTTCCCACAAAAGCCATTCCAAGAAAAGAAAGCAAATATCTATGTAGTGAAAACGGTAATACATGGATCCACAATTTAATCCAACATGTTGATTATAGTGACTGTTCTTCTGACCCCTAGGAAAGTTCCAGCTTTGCTTCCCACTTTGGGACTATGAAAATTTCAAAGTACCAAGCAGTGCAAGGCAACACCAACTTCTAAAAGGGATATACAGGTTGAATATTCCTTATCTGAAATGCTTAGAACCGGAAGTGTTTTGGATTTCAGATTGCTTTGGATTTTGGGATATCGTATCTGTAAATGCATACATAAGATATCTTTTAGATGGGACTCGAATAAACTTCATTTGTGTTTCAAATACACCTTATACACACAGTTTGACTGTAAAATTATACACATTTTTAAAAAAATGCGCATAGAACAAATTTGTGTACACAGAACTATAAGAAATCATAGATAACTCAACCACATCCAATTTTGAAGCACTTTGGAATTCCAGATAGGGGACACTCAAGCATTGTAAAACTGTTCCCAAACACACATAATGTCTTCCCTAGAAGGAAAGGAGCCTTCTGATAGTTCTGCTGATGAGTGGTCAAAACAAACAAATTTTTGTCTGACACAGGACTAAATTTTGGCTTCCAACGAAGATTGAAAAAAAGCAAAGAAAATATCTAATATTGGTAGCATCATCCTGTAAGTCAGAACTGGATAATGCTCTCCAGATGCTACTGGACTCCATTTCTCATCTTTACTACCCAGAGGGTAAAAACTGCATGTGCATTGATACCTGCAGCCATTTGGCCCTTGGGCATTTTAGTTGCCAGAATGGAAACATCCTTGCTCCTGGTGTATTACAAAATCCTTCTGTAGAACACAGAATGAAATAATCATAACCCCATAAATGCAGACATTAGCCCCAGTGCCACTGTTGAGCTCAGGGCTGGAGATGGGGTGGGAAATAATTCCAATAGCTGTACTATCCTTCAAAGGTACTTCAAGGGTCACAGAAGACTAGTATCATTGTTGAAATTGTTCACAGCCCCAATCTTTGCCAACTACAAGCTTGTGGACCAAGTTTTGCCCTTTTAGCTCTGTGTTTTTGAGGAGCTTTGATCACCTTGGGAGGAATCTGAGACTGGAGGGATGATCTCTGCCCACCACATCCGAGAGGTCTGAAATGAAGGGATTCTTCTCAAACTTAACATTACGTTCTGAAGTGTAACATGCGGGGAAATAGCTGGAAAACATGGGGCAAGAGTTTTTCTTTCTGTTTTTCCAAGGACAATTGTCTGTGAATTCACTTTATTATATTAGAGAATTTACAGTTTGCATTTCATTTATTTTACTGAAAAAATGTAAGTAGCAGAGGGTTCACTGTTTTGCACAATGGCTTATAAAATATAGGCCTTTATATTTTGTAAATGCCATACATTAATAAAGTACATACAATTAATTTATGAGTTAAGTTATGAAGAAAGGATTTACGTTGCTATAGTTAGGATCTGATATGAAAACAATTATAGCATATAATAGGAATATCATTCTCTAGACACACTCATTGGAAAAGACAACCCTGCTTAGCAATGTGGGAGACAGAAGGAAAAGGGAACACTGAATTACCTATGGATTGACTCAACCAATGGCCCTCAATTTGCATGTTCCTAACCAGAGCTGTCACTGATTGGGGCTCTAAGAGGGCTCTCATTCATATGGAAGTGAAAGCAGATTCGATGGCAAATAATGATAACTTGGCTAAGCATAACATCAGGAAAGGAAACAAGGCCAAGAATTGTAATTATGTGAAGCAGTGTGCAGTCTTACACAGCAATCACCATACCATATGTATTTTAGAAATAATGTGGGAAAAGTGACTATAGAGGGCTCTTGTCCTAAACCTTTTATATACCATTCTACAATAACATATTCTAGAATCTGTTTCTTGCAATTATGCTAGAAAAAGCTTTAAAATAAGGGTAGGGGGATCACACACACACACACACAAATAGTTCATATATCTAAATCTAAGTGGTGTATTTAAATCAATCATCAGACATTACTGGAGTCTAAACATCAACATTCTTCATTTATACACATGCTTCCCCTTCAATTATTATTACTATTTTCAACTGTATATACATTTAAAACTTAGAAACAGGGCAAGTGTCACAAATCTGGTCATATACATAGTCAAGAATATTATACAGTATGATAGTCTTGTCTATGTATATCCAACTTATGGGGGAGTGGCAAATTATATATCATAATTCAAAAAATTTAAGACATTTAAAACTTTTCTTACCTTAGTTCAGGCGAATCAGCCCTCCCATATCGATCCTGCCACTTCCCAATGCCTGAACTGGTTTTTCTGGCTGCAGTGCTCGTCTGCGACTGAGAAGAGGTGCTGCTTCTGGTGAGATAAATGTTCTTTCTTTTCTTATGTTTCTGTATTTCCCTATTCTAAGATATTTTCTCTCTCTCCCCCTCCCTCATTCCACTCATCACATCTTTCGACATTAACTGTAGCATGACTTCTACTGAAAGACTAGATATGGAATTAAATAATATATGCACAACACCACCATATTCATTCTCCTTTAGTAACCACATTTTAAATCCAATTCGGTATCTGCGACTCATTATCTACTATCTACTGATTTTATGAACTAAATACATACAATTGTTTGAGACACAAGCCTAAATACACACACTTGACAAAACCATTCATTTAAACACTTCTCTTTGCAAACTGGGTTACCAAATCATCAGAAAACCAACAAAGGAGTATTACAACATAAACACTTCAATATTTCTGTGTTCAACTGTCTCTCCATATTTGCAAAAATGTGCAGTGTTTACAGTGGACTCTGCAGAAATTGCTTCAGCTGTACTTTATAAAAAGAAAAATCAGCCTGTTTAGCAAGTCCTGCAAATGCTGGGCTTGCTAAACAACAAATTATTGATTTTTATACCTATTTTATATACCGATACACCAGGGATTGTATTGAGTATTTTGTGATTTGTTCTAGGTATCACTGAAATCTGGCTTGGAGGCCTACAGTAGACCCATACTACTACTGTCACTATTGTTTCCCTAAGGCAGTGGTTCCAACCTTTGGTCCTCCGGGCATTTTAGGCTTCCACAATTCCTAATAGTTGATTATATGGCTGGGGTTTCTGGGAGTTGAAGTCCAAAACACTGGGAGGACCAAAGGTTGGGAACCACTGCTCTAAGTCATGGTCTACAAATCCATGACATGCAATGCTTTAGCTTCTATCTTGTCTGGTTTATTTCTTTGGGAAAGCATTTTACTGATGTTTATAAATCATATTTGCCTGTATTAAGAATTCAAATTCATTTTATTTTCCATGCTTGTATATTGATGTAAAGACACAGAAGACCACACATCATTCTATTCACCTGATTCTTTATTGTTGTTTTCTGTTTATTCTTCCATTCTTGTGCTATTGGTCTATATCCATGTACAATTAAGTTATGTTCATCCCTCTGCTCTCTGGCATAGAGTTCTCCCAGTCTCATATAACTTAGTTTAAAGTTGTCTTGATCAAAATTTTGTGAAACTCTTAGCAAATATGAGATATACAACTCATCTTTTAAAAGTTCTTCTACATGAAAGTGCAGACCATGGTCCAATATGCAACATTGTTCATCACAGCATCATCTGTGGAACCAGTTGTTCACTTTCAATATTGTTCTACCACTTCCTGGGCCACTTCCTTCCACAGGAAGAAAGTATGAAACCACAATATGTACCAAAAGTCCTTTTGTCCATGCCTCCATCCCTTACAACATATTGAAGGTTACATCTTTCAGTATCCCTTGTTCCAAAAATTGATTGGAAGAGATAACTTGTTGGTGGGTTTGTTGGACCTTGTCAGCCTCTGTTTCATCATGAAGCTAATGACTCAAGACATCTCAAGACACCCCAAACAAATTAATACTGAGAAGACCCACTACATTAGATCACGGGCTTAGCAAGACCAATGAGAGCATGGGTCCTTAGCAGGTGGCTGATCAATCTGATGCTAGCCACTGTCTCCAAAATACAATTTTCTTTAATTTAATACTATGTGAACACAAGAAGAGTGCTAAATATATTTTAACCAAAACACATCTAATTCAGCTACAATATATAAATAGGTATTAAGAAAAACAAAAATGAAACAGTCTATATTGCCACAAAAGCTATCTTAGAGTTGCATCTGTGACCAATCAGCTGAAATCGCAGTACAAAAATGCAGATGTAAACACCAGATGTATACATAATAATATAAACCTAAGTAATTCCCCACCTTAGCTAAATGCAAATTAAATAATGTTACTTCCCATTCTGAACATATTAAATAACCTATCATTAGTAATATGTTGGCTCAGATACTGAATGACCCTATCCAGTTGCTCCTTTGTCCCATTTGGCAACTAGCTTCCTGGGTTTTGTAAAATCATTGTTCACCACAGAATTTCAATAAATAGATGTTGGATATTAGGATCATCTGTTGATTTAATCAGAATCTGTAGTATCTGTGCAAACTATGGCTTTCCGGTTTTGATTCTACAGCAAAGTATGTTTTGCCAAAAATTAAGAAATTACCAATCTATTTAAATATGCAAGTATACTGTTTACTCATGGAATACAAAGCCAAGGTTGGGTACCGGCATATGTACTGACCCATTGGGTTAATTTGAATGACACACTACTCTTTATTTCCCCACCCTACTTTTTTGGTTTTGATTCTAGCATAAAAATACAAGCCACAGTGACCTCAGGAATTCTAAACTTTGATTCAATTTAACTACATTTTGATATAAAATCCAACTTCATGGCTCATTTTTTGTATTTGGCTTGTTTCAATTAAACCACAGTTAAAATCAACCATACCCTCTTGTCTTAATAACAACTTGAGCTTTTCTATGTACCTGAACTAGATGAGGAAAGAGGGAAATAAGTAGTAAAAATCATGACAGACTAAGCTGTGCCTAATTACTCCAAATGCATCGAGCTAAAACTTATTACTTTCAATGGTTATTCAAATTCCCTTTAATCTTTCCTAACATTATTATATATATATAACTGCACTTGCATTTCCAGTTTGGTAGTAAAAGTAGCATTTGAGAGTATTTTTCTGTATAGTAGAATGAAAATATGACAGTCCAACTGACCTATTTGATGGGATTCCTGTCTTGAATAAAGGTGGGGGAGATGTAAACTCAGCTTTGGGTGGTGGAAGTAATATTTCTTTCTCCATGTTTCCAGTTCTGCCTTGCTGCACCTTCAGAATAAAGCGTTTTCATTAGCATTTTTGTAACCTAGGGCATCTCCCAAAGAAAGTACAGAAAAGAAAACACTACAATTTCTAAATGAGGATGATTGTTCATCTTACACAAGAATATTCTTCCCTGGTTCCAAAGATCCTGACCTCAAATACTCCACTAGGTATGCCCAGGAAGAGAAGCTCTTTGAATTCCAAACAGACTGCTCTTATGCCAAAGCCTACACAACACCCACACTTCTTTAGTATAGAAGAGGAAGAAAAACTAAACATTACAATACAGTTAACTTTTTTAAAGATTTCAAACACCTAGAAAAAACCACTAATATTGTTTCCACTTTTGAAAAGCTGTTCATTATGGCATCACTATAGATAAGCAATGTGGAACTGCAATCACAGTCATTATTAAACCTGATCATTACCTTTAGAGATCATGGCGGTGGTCAGCAGCATGACCAACACCAACAAAACAAAACAGGCTATATTTACACATAAACCAGTGACAAAACTTCATATAATAGACAAGGTTACTATTAGGAACTATTAGGCAAGAAAAAATTGCCCCCATTGAACTGATGACAGAGAATGTTCCAATGCTGTACAACTATGTATATCAGTTTCTGCTGCACTTTAAGGCCAGAAGAGATGAGATTTAGCAGTACATATTTTCAGGTTAATACCTTCAGAGCTAAAGCACATGTAGCCTTGATAATCCTGGTTGTTAAAAACAAGCAGAACTAGTGAACATTATTTCACCATGGAATTATTCCGGAATTTCCCCTACCTATTTATATGCACTCTGGGTTGGAAGATCGGGGAGTTTTTTTTTAAAAAAATCCCAAATGAACATACAAGTTGTTAGGAGGCCTTGAGTAAGGTCCTTTCTCTTAGAGCGCTATCACACAGCCATGTAACTTATGGCCCTTCCACACAGCCCTATATCCCAGAATATCTGCTTCGAACTGGGTTATTTGAGTCCACACTGCCATATATTCCAGTTCAAAGCGGAAAATGTGGGATTTTATTCAGCTGTGTGGAAGGGGCCCTAGAATATCAAGGTAGAAAATCCCACAGTATCTGCTTTAAACTGGTTTATCTGAGTCCACACTGCCATATATTCCAGTTCAAAGCAGAAAATGTGGGGTTTTACTCAGCTGTGTGGAAGGGGTCTCAGAATAGCTTCAAGATTTAAACACAATCCTGAGGTCCCTGGCAGAGTGTATGGATTTTTTAAAAGAACGACAGGAGACAGAAGGCTCAAATTATCATTACCACATTGGTTTAGTCCAAGTTTTACTTCAAACAATTCTTAAATACCCAATGTGGATACTCAACGTACATTCAGAAAACTAGCTGATGACTTCCTATCTGAAATTTCTGCAAGAATTAAGTTACAAGCATATATTATGCACAATGAATAGAGGATTTATACATTGACTCAGTCATTATAGTGATATCTCTCTATAAAGTCAATTATATGAGACTAACATACCACAACACAACACACTCACATAAAAATAAAAATGAAGACTATTCCAATTGCCAATTGTATATCAGTTGAAGTCTACAAAGTAAAACCATATTCCTGTTAGGTTCTTGTGGGTTTTTTCGGGCTATAGAGCCATGTTCTAGAGGCATTTCTCCTGACGTTTCGCCTGCATCTATGGCAAGCATCCTCAGAGGTTGAGAAGCATCCTCAACCTCTGAGGATGCTTGCCATAGATGCAGGCGAAACGTCAGGAGAAATGCCTCTAGAACATGGCTCTATAGCCCGAAAAAACCCACAAGAACCTAGTGATTCCAGCCATGAAAGCCTTCGACAATACATATTCCTGTTGTCTCAACCTTGAAAAAAATTCCACAATGTTCCAAATGTCACTAGAAAAAGCAATGACCTTCTTTGTACAGGACCTTTCATGTTAAGTTTTACCACACTGTTCTTGCATGTGCTTCAAAAGACAAGGCATAATCTGTCTTAGTGGGATTCTCTCTGCAATACACATTTCCTCAGCAAGTCCCTAACCATTTTCTCTCACCATCGCAATAAGAGGACACATTCTCTTAATGTGAAATATTTATTTGAGAATCCACCAATATTAATGATTATCACATTCTTGACAAGTTTCCTTCTATTTTTCAGAAGCAAGTGATTCTTCCTCTGTCCTCACATAGCAGAGATGAACAGAATACTCATTTACTTCATGTAAGGCTGGGAAGAGTTAACACTGTTATTATTTAGAGATGTTTGGCAAAGTTCTTATTTCTCTGGTCTTCTAAACTTAATACAATGCTTGTCTTCCTGAGTCCATCATGCATATCACAGAAGTGGGGTCACTAAAAACCAGAGAAGACTCGTCCTTACATGCTAATTTTATGATGCAAATGAGGGAATATATTGTTCTAGTCATCATACAGTTGCTTGGAAAGAAATTAGACCAGAATATAAGAATCAACCACTTATGATTAGATCACATAAAGAGAGAGGCAACATTTCAACTGGTTCTACTTGCATTCTGATGCATTTTCTCACTTGAATGCTACAGACAAAATAAAGATACATTCAGCACCAACATTTTTGTCCAGTAGTAACTCATCTTATTCAAAGGATGCAGCATACAAGAAGTTAAACAACTGCCAGAGCAATTATTAGTACATTAGGCCATCACGTCACAGGCTTACAGCAACAAAAGTAAAACACAAGATTCTACATGCAAAAAATGTGAACAATACATGTCAAAAACTTGGAAAAACAGGTATGTTGTCTTGTGTTTAGACGGAGATCTTGGAAGTGGTATGGCAAACAGTAATTAGAGTGACTAAGGAAAGTTTACCAACATTCACCTTAAAAAGATTGTATGTGCCATCTGGAATCTCTGTCCCTGGCGTTACTTCCATAGCAATGTCTTCGGCCTAAGTTAAATAACACATTGCCCATTAAAACACCACATTATGGACCAATGGGCTACATTACAACTAACAACAGATTACAAGCTAGTTGTAGCTTGATGGTTCTATACTATTAACACAAAGGCCAACAAAGAAATGGAGCACAGTTGCTGGATGACAGTAACAAGAAGGAAGGGTATGAACTTTTCAACACACAAAAATTTCTAACATTCACTTTGGATGCAACAGTATATCAACTTCAGAAGAAAAGGTATTTTTGTAATCTGGTAACTAGTGATTGTATTCATTACCGTAATTTTATTTGGTACAATTTCAAGTCCCATTCGTAGCCTCTTTTGTTTTTCACAGTATGCTTTCCAGGTGTCTTCATTAAATCCATAATTGAAATAATCTGAGAGGTCAGCACCTTAAGAAGGGGGAACCAAACATTCTACAAGTTAAACAAACTGGCAAAGAAGAAGGAAAAGAATTCAGTCCTCCACCAAGATTTCTAGCTGCTGGTTTTGGAAGTGAAAATCCACTAAAGAGCTATTCTAAAAAGAAGTCTAACAATTCTACTGCTCTATTTCCTATAGCCACTAGCAATAATGAATTAGTCATGTTCCAAAGGAGAAAGCACGTGGCCAAGCATTATATCTTTAGCAAAAATGCAATAAACCAGAATTCCTCCAGTAGTTGTTCAAAAAGAAACTTCAATTTCTTTGGGTGCTGTCGTTATTTATTTTAAACAGCTTTAATTCAAATTTATTTGAACAATATGATTTGTTTGCTTCACTAGTATATCAAATGGCCAGAATTCAGAATCACACAGATGCCTAGCAAAGTTATGCATCCATAACTAATCTGTATTCATGGCCCATGTGCAGTCACATTCATGGCACTAATGGCATTATCATAACTGACCCAACCCCCAACCTACTCTACTGGGCACCAGCTGCACCCTGAGAAGGAAGTCTCTCAGGGTCCAGCTGGATAAAGTGTCCACTCCCCTCCCACTGTTAGCAAAGCTGCAATAATCAGAAGCAGCGCCCTTATGGTTGTTCCATATTGTAGCCTCACTGGCCAGTGAGAGAAGGATAGACATGTAATTCATCTGCATCTTGACCTCCCTTGATGCAGCCGATATCCAGTGATATACCATCTCACTTACACGTTGTGTTCATATCATTCTGTACAGTAACAATCAACGAATAAGTCTAGCAATGGCTTTTTTACTCATTTGCTGTAATTTAGATTAACTCTTCCATCCTCTGTAATGATATAAAACCATGCCTTACCTGGTTTTCTCCAAGGTTTATCCTCAAATGAATCCAAATCAACTTCTAATAGTGGGACACCATTAATGCTTCCTGGTGCGTCAAGATCAACTCCTTTCACTTTTGCTCCTAAGAAGAAATGATAATATATTAATTTCAGATGATTCTAAGAAAATACATAATATTTTGAGTTCAAAATTAAAATGTTTGCACAAAAGCAGTATACTAGTGCTTATGAGCCCGCACAGAATAAGAAATAATGAATTACCCTGCTATAGAAAAAAAAGAAGCAAGAGTAATATGAAGTAATTGGCACATCATTTTAGCTGAGTATTTAATGTTAAAAATTTAATCACTGAACTGGATCAGTGGAGATCTCTGATATTTCTTTCACTGAGTTACTAGCTACATCTCTCAAAATGGGTTATTTCGTAAAATTACTGCAAGACTGATTCCTGCAATGATAGTATTACAATTCAAACTGAATCCTTGTGAATGTAAAATGATAATATTAGTGTTTATAGAAACAGATAAAAGCATACATTAAAGGTAAAGATGTGGCTATTTTTCTAAATCTTTCCTGGTTGAACTGCTATCTTTTTTCAATTCATAGTACCCTAGAAGACACTCACCTGAAGAGCCATAAGATCGTCCTGCTGTTTTAATATTGAGATTCACAGGTGCTGCACCATATCTAAAATAATATGTATATATTAAAGGAAGAAAATGATAAGACTTTAACTTCAATGTTTTCAGTTTGGAAATTATTATTATTATCCACCTCTCCTTGTGGCTCGAGGCAGAGTACAACATGATTAAAACAGAGAGATAAAACACAACAGTAATAGAACACATATAAGAAGATACACACAGGTAAAATCCCAGTTAGAATTCACTGATAACATGCAGGTTAAAAATCACAAGTTAACTGTTGTAGTATTGTGTTTGGCGTTCTTGAGGTTTCTGCGTCTTGACATTAACATTGACTGGGTAGGCCTGTTAAAGAATTACAGTGCTGTGTAATTCCAAATAAAATCTAGAGTTCTAGAAATTGCACTAAATTGCACCAAAATAAGCCAACACATTACCTTCTCAAGACTACTTTTTAAAATGATTAGTGGCTGAGAGCTTTATTGTCTATAATTAGATGGAATTTTTAATGTCATGAACTTGGGGAAAATGTGAAGTTTGCAAGGAAGATTCTACAGTATTTTACATTTTATATGTCTCCCATTATGAAAGGCTGACATGAAGTTCCACATACATGGCTAGTCCAACCCTTCCCAATGTGCTGTTGGGCTAGAGAGACCAGCATCCCAGTCCACTGGTCACACTGGAGGGATGAGAGATGTTAGTCAAACCTAATTTGGGAGCCAAAGGCTTAGAAAGACTGGAATCCACTAAAAATGTTACTGGTGTTCCTATTCCTAGATATATTCATTTGCACAGATGCCCAGAAAGATGAAAACAGAGAAGCTGATTCTCTACAACAGCTATATTCCAATACACATTTTTCCTTGCTTGAAATAAAATATTGCCTCAACACCAGTCTGAGTCACTGTGTCCTGAAACACAAATGTTTCACCAGCAGGCAACTTACCCATATTGTGGAGCTCCTGTTTTAATATCTCCTATAGTGACTTGAACATCATCTTCATCATCATCACTATCACTGTCACTATCATCCTCGGCTTCTGTAACTTTCTACAAAGGAAATATAATTATCATGAAATATACCCAATTGACTGCCACAAACTTGAAATAGATATGAAAAGAAACCTTTTGTGTATAATATCATCACTTGTGCCCATTCTGAACACAGTAAGTGTACAGAATGTAGCTCTTTGCACCCTACAAACCCTGTCCTTGTTCTAAATGGCATCATAACACTCTGCTTCCCCATTTGAGGGATTTTAAGCGTAGATAGATACATGCCTAAACCTGATGCAAAAGGGAGGGAAAAAAGTAACAGATGGAGGGGATGCAATTTGGACCAGAAATATAGTTGTTCGGGAAAAGACTAAATATTATCTTGTGAGAACACTATTCACAACTCAACAAACAGGCATGGGTGTTATCTTATTACCGTTGCTATGTAATCTTTTTAAAAATCTTTTAACATCATATAGTATCTTGCTTAACTGAGTGCATAGATTACAGGTTATCACACTGTGATGAAAGCCACTGACTAAAGTTCAATAGCTACCACAAAAAGTTTGATCAAAACTTTTTTAAAAAACCCTCATTTTGTGAAATGTTAATTTTAAAAATATTATTACCGTTTTCACTACACCATTTTCAGCTACTGTTTCTTCTTCATTTCCAGAAGTAGGTTGAGCGCTTGAAAATAAAATCATAGAAAGTAATTACTGGATATTATCTGGATTAAAATTACACCTGATGTTGTTAGTAGACAAGACATGCTTGTAACAAAACTAATATTTATGGAAACTGAGTAGTCAAGTAGAATTGTTATACCTTTATTCCATTCATTTTACTCTTGCTTGTTAGAGGCATTGAAGATCATTACTTGTTGTGTTACTGTTTTACTATTCAGCTTACAAAAGGAAAAGTTATCTGGATCATTAACAACTAGAGCTTCCCTTCATATTTTTCACAGAAATGTATCACTCACTAAAGGGTAGTCTGCTGTTCATAGCTGATTTCAAGTTGGAAAACATTGTATATGTTTGTCAAATTCTATTTTAATATTTATTTAAGTGTACATTGTGTTTTAGGGCATCGAATTGTTGCCTGTATGTAAAGTTGCCTTGAGTCTCCTCCGGGGTGAGAAAGGCAGGGTAGAAATGCATAAATAAATAAATAATATGTTTCAATTATAACACAAGTTAATTATTCTATTGTTTTTCACTTTCAGGTTGTTTCCAACATATAGTAACCCCAAGGTGATCCCATTATGGGATTTTCTTGGCACGATTTGTTCAAGGGCGAGGGTTGCCTTTGCTTTCTTCTGAGGCTTAGTGACTTACCCAAGGCAACTCAGTAGATTTCCAAAGTTGAATGGGAATTCCAACTGTTTTGTGTCCAAAACCCAAATGCTGTATATGCTACCTAGCTACTTAGGAACACCAAAATGTTTTAATTGGACAAACATTTATATAGCCTAACCAATTCCCCAAATTTACATGCATTTATTATCAACACATTTGATACTCAATGATGCAAAGATTGGTAAGTTATAGAATACCAACCTGACAGGTGCTTCCTCTGGCCTCTCCTCTTCATTCTCATCTATTAAAAACAATAATATCATCTCAAAATTCTGACTACAATGGCATTTGAGAGAATCCCTCATAAACTTTAAGCTTTTACTTTACAAATGCATCCATCTCCCATTTTGGTTCTATTTCTCAAACTAGTGTGCAATCCTAGTGTAATTTGGGATAACTACTGTTTTATTGGTCCTGCTCTCATAAATGGAATGCTCCTGTCAAAAGAATACTAAAGAGCATTGTCCACAGATGTGGCTTATTACACACTTTTAATTCACACAAAAGTGGATATATATGTAGTCAAAAGTATAGCAATCAAGATTTGTCCAAAATAATGAAGAAGCTCTGGTTCTAGGGGTTTTTTTTCCGTGTCAGGAGCGACTTGAGAAACTGCAAGGATGTTGCCCAGGGAACGCCTGGATGTTTGATGTTTTACTAAACTTGTGGGAGGCTCCTCTCATGTCCCGATCTTCAGTCCTGCTGGTACAAGTCCTGCTGATGCATCACAGTGCTTCAGTCCTGCTGGTGCATCACAGTGCTTCAGTCCTGCTGGTGCATCACAGGGGGCTCCTAGTTAGTTGCCAATATACATCAGCAGAATTCTATAATCACGTTATTGGGGTTTGATGCATTCATATTTATATTTTAGAGATTTTTGACACATTTATAAGTTCTATAAAAATGGAAGACGTCCCTCACATGACTTGAGATTCTAAACCAAAATTACACTTATATATTCATAAATTAACTTCTTCTTTTTTTTTTTGCTAAGAAAGACTGGCAAAATTTAACTAAGCAAATAATTTTCAAGTAACATAGATGAAAACCAAATTACTTCCTAAATATCCTTCCCATTACATTATTAGCGATATGCTGTAAGAAAGCATAATTTCTCCAAACACAAGGAATCCTATATCAAAGGTAACATCACTTTCTTTCTTTCCTGCTAGAGCTTCTGTGCTTTCAAAATCAACATCACATACATAAAATGAACAGGAAAAGCTTTCTCCCTTCAGGCCCAGAAAACATTTTGTCTTAAATTATGGAACGATGGAACTTTCTTTCATTCATGTTTCTTCCATGCTACAGCCCTTACAACTGCCAAATAACCATCCCAGGAGGGTTTCCAAGATATCCACAGCCAGTTTAAGGAGTGAATGGAGAAAGCCGGACACCAGCCTTTCTCCTGCTCAGGAATGGATCCCGCCACAAACCCTGTTGACTATGCTTCTCATTAGCCTGCGGAAATTAGTACATTTTAAACCACACAAAATTTAAGACCTATCCCATGAGCAAAGTATGTAAAACACCTATTCCAAAATCTTTCACAAAATGGCCTACGAGTGATTTAAAATCCGGAGATGCCTCTAAGAATTATTACCTTTAATAATATTTTTCTACATAGTGGTAGAGGATTAGGGTCGTAGATATTTGTATATACTGATGCAATTCACATGATGGCTATAGATGACGTTCAGCATCAGAAAAGTACAACCAGGCCTTTGGTGACTCTGTTTAAACCAAATCTCCAGGACTGGTACAACATCCAGCACAATTTCCCCTTCTCTGCTGAAAGCCTTAATGTGGAGCAAGCTGCTATGACACTGTGCTTCTTCTATTTTTAGTCACTATGCAAAGAGGACCTATAAACAATTTGGGATCTTCCACACCCACATATTTTTGCCTCTTTAAATGAACAAGATTTCTGCTCGGTACTGGCACTGTACCAGTCAGTTCATATAACTTATCACTTGTGATATAAGCATACACAGTGATGAGTTCTGGGGGCGGAGTGTCTGCCTGCACATTGATCTTCTTTCAATCTTCACTGAAGATCACACATGTCCAAATGTTCCTGAATTACATTCTTCTACTTTGGGAATCTTCTATTAGTAAAAAATAATCTCACTAGTCTACATAGTTGTCACAAGAGGCATCTACAGTACTCCAAATATGGAAAGATAAATAACAAATGTAAATACTTCAGTGGACTACAGGATTACTGTCCATTATACGTTTACATATGCAGATACTACCTGCAACAACTCCCAATTTTTGGGGGATGCCTAATCCCTGTCCTTAAATACTATTTAACTTGATGGAACCTACATTCCTATCCTGTTGAGATCAATTTCCTTACCATATTCCCTTTGTATCTTAACTCCCTGCCAACGTCAAACATGCCCATATTGTGTTTGTATTCTTTAAGACATAACACAAGCAACTGACATATAAAAATGACAGTAACTCCCAGTCACAAAAAGACCAGGACAGTTTGCACACTTAGTAGTTTATCTCAGCAAGGAGGTACACACATTATATGCTTGAAGTCACTACCAGTAGTTTCTAGAGAAACAGGAAGTAGATTGGGTTACTTTGAGTTTTTCAAGATGTAGGGCCATATTATAGAACAATTCTCTCCTGATGTTTCACCTGCATTTGTGGCAAGCATCCTCAGAGGTTTGTTTAAAAGTCTGTTGGAAATGAGGCAACAGACCAAAAAACTCACAGCAACCCAGTGATTCCAGCCATGAAAGCCTTTGACAACACAAGAAGTAGATTAATAAAACTAATGTGCTGGGAAAGATGTGGGAGGAGAAAATAAAAGGAGCTACTAAATCAGAAATTTGTCCTGCATTGACCTGTTTCTCTAAAATGGAATATGCCTTCTCTGAAATGTTTGGGACCAGAAGTGCTCCAAAATTTGTAATAATAGCATATACGAGTTATCTTGGAGACAGGACCCAAGTCTAAACAGGAAATTCATTTGTTTCCTATACACCTTATATACCCACAGATGGTAATTTTATACTAAATATTTTAAACATGTTTGTGCCTGAGACAAAGCTGGTGCACGCAGAACCATCTGCAAGTGAAGACTATGGGCCACACAGCCATATAACCCAGAATATCAGGGTAGATAATCTACGGGCCCTTCCACTCAGCCCTATATTCCAGAATATCAAGTCAGAAACCCCCATATTATCTGCTTTGAACTGGAATATATGGCAGTGTGGGAGGGCCCTACAATATCTGCTTTGAACTGTATAATCTGAGGGCCCTTCCACACAACCTTATATCCCAGAATATCAAGGCAGGAAATCCCACATTATCTGAGTGTGGACTCAGATAACCTAGTTCAAAGCAGATATTGTGGAAAAAGGGATTCAGCCTGTGCTGAGTGGGGCTACACTTCCACTGAAGACACAGGTTCACAATTTGGGGTCCTCCTGGACTCGGTGCTGAACCTCTGTGGTAGCCAGGAGGGTCTTTGTACAATTAAAACTTGTGTGTCAACTGTGCCCATTCCTTGAGAAGCAAGATTTGGCCATGGTGGTACATGCCTTAGTTACATCCTGTCTGGGTTACTGTAACAGGCTCTAAGTGGGGCTGCCTCTGAAGTGTGCTCAGAAACTTCAGCAGATCCAAAGAGCTGCAGCAGGTTGTTCACTGGGGCTGGCTACAGGGAGAGAACACCCCTGTTGCAGCAGCTCTACTGGCTGCCAGTCTGTTTCCAAGCACAATTCAAAATGTTGGTTATGATCTTAAAAGCCCAGATGGTTCAGGTCCAGGCTATTTGGCTGACCACATCCCCTTGTACAAACCCGCCAGGGCCCTAAGATATTCACGAGAGGCCCTTCTTTCATTCCCACCTGCATCTCAAGCTCAATTGGTAAGAACGAGAGAGAGCGCCTTTTTGGTGGCTGCCCCCTGACTCTGGAACTCCCTGCCCAGGGAGGCCACAATGGCCCCCTCCCTGCTATCCTTCCAGCGGCAGGCTAAAACTTTTTAAAGATGCAGAAGTTTAAGATCTAGCCAGGGGGTGTTGTGGTTTTTAGATTTATATTTGTGTAAATGGTTTTAACTGGGGATTTAAAAATTACTGTTCATAGTTAATCTTGTCTTAATACTTATATATTTATATATTTTAAATGGTTGATGCTTTGATGTTAGGCTGCTTTGAGTCCCCTTTGGTGGAGATAAAGCAGGGTATAAATAAATATAAAAATAATGGGGCCACAGGGAAGAGTTCATAATAGGACCAAGACCCCTTCCACACAGCTGTATAAAACCGACACTGAACTGGATTATATGGCAATGTGGACTCAGATAATCCAGTTCGAAGCAGATATTGTGATTATCTGACTTTATATTCTGGGTTATATGGCTGTGTGAAAGAATCCTGAACAAAATCACACAATGTATTGTCGAAGGCTTTCATGGCTGGAATCACTCAGTTCTTGTGGGTTTTTTCGGGCTATATGGCCATGTTCTAGAGCAGGGGTCCCCAAACTAAGGCCCGGGGGCCGAATGCGGCCCTCCAAGGTCATTTACCTGGCCCTCGCTCAGGGTCAACCTAAGTCTGAAATGACTTGAAAGCACACAACAATAATCCTATCTCATCAGCCAAAAGCAGGCCCACACTTCCCATTGAAATACTAATAAATTTATATTTGTTAAAATTGTTCTTCATTTTAATTATTGTATTATTTTAAAGTGGTTTTTGGATTACAAATAAGATATGTGCAGTGGGCATAGGAATTCATTCATGCTTTTTTTTTTTTCAAATTATAATCCGACCCTCCAACAGTTTGAGGGACTGTGACCTGGCCCTCTGTTTAAAAAGTTTGTGGACCCCTGTTCTAGAGGCATTTCTCCTGACGATTCGTCTGCATCTATGGCAAGCATCCTCAGAGGTGAGGTCACCTCTGAGGATGCTTGCCATAGATGCAGGCGAAACGTCAGGAGAAATGCCTCTAGAACATGGCCATATAGCCCGAAAAAACCCACAATAACTGAGAGAAAATCACACAATATTTGCTTTGAAATTGGGGGCCCTTCCACAGGATATCAGGGCAGGTAATCTGCAATATCTGCTTTGAACTGGGTTATTTGAGTCCACACTGCCATGTAACCCAGTTCAAAGCAGATAATGTGGGACTTTATTCAGCCGTGTGGAAGGGGCCTCAGATAACCTTGGCCCCTTCCACACAGCTGCATAAAAGCCCACATTTTCTGCTTTGAACTGGACTCGGGGGTCTTCCAGACAGGCCCACTACCTCAGGCACTGATCCCAGGTTTTCTGTTTATCCCAGATTATCTGGCAGTGCGAACTCATACAATCCCGTTTAAAGCAGAAAATAGCAGATTGGATCCTGGGATATAGGGCCTGTCTGGAAGGGCCCTCAGATAACCAGTTATCTGCCTTATTATTCAGGATTATATGGCTGTGTGGAAGGGCTCGGTGTTCTCTCCTTGTGGAATGAAAATGTGGGATATAAACAAACAACAATATATTCATGCGCCTGCCTCCCTGTTTCCAAGGGACGGAAGAGATGCGGCTAAATGGAGAAAGAGCTCCTGGCTGGGTCTTTTTCGAGGTGCAGGGTGGATAAATATAAATACATCCAAGGCCTTGGCTTCCGGGATTATTCGGAGGCCTGCGCCAACCACTCCCTGAGGCGGAGAACCCGGCCAGGCGAGAGCGGGGCCTAAGTGCGGCCTAGTGGGGCCTAGTGAGTCCTGCCGGCGCCTCAGCTGAGGGGGAAACACCATGCAAGTTCGCCTAGCTCCGTACCGCCATAGAGCCACTCTTCCTCCTCATCCCCAGCGCCGGCCCCACTCAGGTCGGCCGAAATTCGCTCCACTTCGCCACCTCCTGCTGCTGCCGCCGCCGCTGCTGCTGTCGCCGCCATGGCTGCTTTGCCGGACGGAAGAAGAAACCTCGCAACGCACGACGGGGGAGACCTCGCTCTCCCTCTCTCTCTCTTTCCGCGCCTTGACGGGACTGGCCCGCGCACGCGCACAAGGGACAGGCTCGAGCCCGGGAAGGTGCGCTTGCGCGTGCCATGCAAAGGAGAGCTCTTGCTTAAGGCATCCTCCCTCCCTTGGCCAAGCAGTGGCCCATTCAGGCTGCCTTTTAGTGGAACCTGGAACTGCACTCTTCTCATGCAGTTTGAGACCCCACTTTTAACTGGCCTGGCTCAAGCCGATGGACCCTTCTACGCTACCATATAATCCACAATATCAGGGCAGATAATCCACATTAACTGCTTTGAACTGGATGGCCATCTGTCGGGGGTGCTTTGAATGCAATTTTCCTCCTTCTTGGCAGGGGGTTGGACTAGATGGTCCATGAGGTCTCTTCCAACTCTATGATTCGGCGTCCCTACTACACAGCTGAATTAAATCCCACATTATCTGCTTTGAACTGGGATATATGGCAGTGTGGACTCAGATATTTATTTATTTGCATCATTTATATGCCGCCCTTCTCACCCCGAAGGGGACTCAGAGCGGCTTACAATATATATATTCATACAATATATCAGTGGTTCTCAACCTTCCTAATGTCGTGACCCCTTAATACAGTTCCTCATGTTGTGGTGACCCCCAACCATAACCCTAACATTATGAATCGCCATGTAAATAATGATCTGCAGGACGTATTTTCGTTCACTGGAGCAAATTTGGCACAAATACCCAGTATGCCCAAATTTGAATACTGGTGGGGTTGGCGGGGGGATTGATTTTGCCATTTAGGAGTTGTAGTTGCTGGGATTTATAGTTAGCCTGTAAACAAAGAGCATTCTGAACCCCACCAACAATGGAATTGAACCAAAATTGGCACACAGAACTCCCATGACCAACAGAAAATTCTGGAAGGGTTTGGTGGGCATTGACCTTGAGTTTGGGAGTTGAAGTTCGCCTATATCCAGAGAGCACTCTAGACTCCAACAATTATGGATCGGGACCAAACTTGGCACGGATATTCCATATGTCCAAATGTGAACACTCATGGGGTTTTGGGAAAATAGACCTTGAGATTTGGGAGTTGTACTTGCTGGGATTTATAGTTCACCTACAATCAAGGAGCGTTCTGAACCCCAATAATGATAGAATTGGGCCAAACTTCCCACACAGAGACCCTCGTGAACAACAGAAAATACTGTGTTTTCTGATGGTCTTTGCTGACCCCCCTGACACCCCTTTGCGACCCCTCCAGGGGTCCCGACCCCCAGGTTGAGAACCACTGCAATATATTATATTATTAGCATAGTACAATATCAGTATATATTACTATATTGCACTATACCGTTATATTGTAATATTATTAGTAATATTCCAGTTCAAAGCAGATATTGTGGGTTACTTACTTAGGCGATCCCTCGTTGGCCAAGTAGGATAGTCTTCCAGGATCAGTATTCTGGTGGGTCCGTAGGTAATTGTGGAGCCCTATTCTGGATCTGCATCTTCTTCCGTAGTGAGGGCATTGGTTTCCAGATGGAAGGCGGTCCCGGTCGGGGTTGGTTTGACGCGCCTTCCTCTTGACACATTTCTCTCTTTCACCCTCCATTCGTGCCTCTTCAAATTCTACAGCACTGCTGGACACAGCTGACCTCCAGCTGGAGCGCTCAAGGTCCCAGGTTACCCAGTTCTCAGTGTCTATGCCAGAGTTTTTAAGGTTGGCTTTGAGCCCATCTTTAAATCTTTTCCTGCCCACCAACATTCCGTTTTCCGTTCTTGAGTTCGGAGTAGAGCAACTGCTTTGGGAGATGGTGGTCAGGCATCTGGACAACATGGCCGGTCCAGTGGAGTTGATGGCGGAGGACCATCGCTTCAATGCTGGTGGTATTTGCTTCTTCCAGCACGCTGACGTTTGTCCGCCTGTCTTCCCAAGAGATTTGCGGGATTTTCCGGAGGCAGTGCTGATGGAATCGTTCCAGGAGTTGCATGTGACATCTGTAGACAGTCCACATCTCGCAGGCATAGAGCAGGGTTGGGAGGACAATAGCTTTATAAACAAGCACCTTGGTATCCCTACGGATGTCCTGGTCCTCAAACACTCTCTGCTTCATTCGGGAAAATGCTGAGCTTGCAGAGCTTAGGCAGTGTTGTATTTCGGGGTCGATGTTGACTTTGGTAGAGAGGTGGCTGCCAAGGTAGCGGAAATGTTCAACATTTTCTAATGTTACACCATTAAGCTGTATCTCTGGCATTGGAAAGGGGTTGGCTGGTGACTGCTGGAACAGCACTTTGGTTTTCTTGATGTTCAATGACAGGCCGAGCTGCCATATAATCTAGTTCAAAGCAGATTATGATCCCTTCCACACTGCTCTTTATTCCAGAATCTGATCCCAGATTTTCTGCTTTAAACTGGATTATATGAGTCCCCACTGCCAGATAACCTGTGATATACAGATAATCTGGGATCAGATCCTGTGCAATAGGGGAAGTGCGGAAGGGGCACATGTAATATTGTTGTTTCTGGGGTTTAAATATCATTTCCCACTGCTCATCCATCTTGGGTTCCTTCCTTACAAATATAAATATACTTTATTTATAACCTGTCACCATCTCCTCAAAGGGGACTCTGGGTGACTAACATGAGGTCAAGCCCAAAAATAATACAGCATAGTCACAAAGCAACAAAAATACATCACAACTGAATATATAAAATAAACAAAATAAAATGAACAGTGCAAAATAACATATCAATATTTGGGGAACATATGTGAAACTGAGCATGAACGGTGGATTTACTCAAAACATTTTTTTCAGTCTAGATTTACAGGCAGACCCCAAGTTACGAACAAGATAGGTTCTGTAGTTTTGTTCTGAAGTTGAATTTGTATGTAAGTCGGAACAGGTACACTTTTAGAATGTCACTCCATACATACATACAGTATTATGTTTGGATATCACAAGGAAGAGTTAACACCCCTGTCTGTGCTCCTGTTCAGAAGATTTCACCTCACTTTCTGTTACTATGAAGATTGGATTTTGAAAAATGTGGCTTGTTGTGGAAAGGATTGGTGATAAAGCTTCAGTGGAGATACCCTTTCCCCATAATAACTCTTTCAGAAGTGAATTTCCTTTCCAAGAGAAAGATTTCTCTCACTTCCTGTTGTCTTACCCCTGTTCTTAACTATGAGTCATTTGTAAATCAGATGTTTGTAACCCAGGGACTGCCTGTAGTTTGAAAGTGTCTTCTATATACTAGCATTTTCAAAGGTTGAGAGACTTAAATGCCAATTTTGTACACATCAACTGCCTTTTAATATGGCTCACTATTGAAGCATACAAGTTACCTGAGTACATTTTGTTTCCGCTTCTATAAACTATAGACCTCCACTCTTAGTTTGAACCTCCCTCCTCTCCTTCCATTACTTTTTAAATATTTACCTTCACAACCTCTCATAAGGAAAGTGCCTTCTTTGTAGTGCTGTCTTCTGTTCCTTAATTCCTCAGGGTCTTCAGTTTCTCACACTGCTCACTAAATTTGAAGCAGAAAGTCAATTTCTTAATAAACTAAACTTGTAAAATAAGAGGGACTAAAATGCAGTCTTGCTTAGGAATCACACCCTTTATCCTGCAATGCTTCCAGGTGCATAAGTGTTGCTTGGGATGAAGATATTCTGCATATACTTACATCTCTGTAATATCACATCCCATATTGTTCCAAGGCTGAACCATTACATTACACAAAGTTGAGTCTTATTAAGTGATTCTGGTTTATCACAGATCTAAATATAATAATAATAATAATAATAATAATAATAATAATAATAATATCATTCCCTTTCTCTCTTAAAAAAGAGAAAGCGGCTAATAATGTTAAAAAAATTAAAATGTATAATTTAAAATTAAAAATATGTAAGCATTGAAATAGAACTACATAGGAGTATTAAAAATAATTGAAACCATTAAATCATTAAAATATATTAAAATTTATTTATTTATTTATTGTGTCAGGAGTGAACCAAACAGGTGTACTGCATTAAAAACAAACAAACAAACAAACAAAACAAAACAAAACACAAAGTTTGCAGGCTTGGTATTCTATTAAATGTCCTTTGCCCAGTAACTGGCCACTTGGAGTGCCTCTGGCTTTGCTGCAAGAAGGTGCTCCATTTTGCATGTGGCAGGGTTCAGGTTGCATTGCAGTAGGTGGTCAGTGGTTTGCTCTTCTCCACACTCGCATGTTGTGGATTCCACTCTGTAGCCCCATTTCTTAAGGTTGGCTCTGCATCTTGTGGTGCCAGAGCGCAGTCTGTTCAGCGCCCTCCAAATCACCCAGTTTTCTGTGTGCCCAGGGGGAAGTCTCTCATTTGGTATCAGCCATTGATTGAGGTTCTGGGTTTGAGCCTGCCACTTTTGGACTCTTGCTTGCTGAGGTGTTCCAGTGAGTGTCTCTGTAGATCTTAGAAAACTATTTCTTTATTTAAGTCGTTGGTGTGCTGGCTGATACCCAAACAGTGTGGGCCGGAGATGTCACTGCCTTGGTCCTTTCAATATATATATTAAAATGCATAAATACCAATCAGTATAAGCACCTTTTGAAACAATGAAGTACCCATCCAACTTTGCAAAAGTAAATCTTAATGTTGTAGAATTTGAAGAGGCACGAATGGAGGGCAAAAGAGAGAAACGTGGCAATAATATAATAATAAAACTTTATTTATATACCGCTCCATCTCCCCGAGGGGACTCAGAGAGGTTCCCAGGTAACATCACAAAACATACAAAGTAAAAACAACATAACCATAAGATTAACAAAACAAAATATAAGTATAAAAATTGTCTCCATTGTGCCAAGAGGAAGGTGCGTCAAGCCAACCCCGACCGGGACCGCCTTCCACCTGGAAACCAATGCCCTCACTGCGGGAGAACATGCAGATCAAGAATAGAGCTCCACAGTCTCCTACGGACCCACCGCCAATACACTGATCTTGGAAGACTATCCTACTCAGACAACGAGGGATCACCTAAGTAAGTGTTTACAGGATTACAATAAACTTACTGGGAATCCTGCTTTGTCTTTGACAGCATTAATTCCAATACAGGTTACAGGCATATAGCCCCCAAGCCCCCCCCCCCCCGAATCGAAATCCTGGCTACAGGCCTGACAGGTTAGCATCCCTTTGCCAGAATTCACAAAATACTTCATAGTCCAAAACTGCTGACTTGGGTGGCTGAAACAGTGGCACTTTTTATAGAATCATAGAGTTGGAAGAGACCTCATGGGCCATCCAGTCCAACCCTCTGCCAAGAAACAGGAAAACTGAATTCAGAGCACCCCTGACAGATGGCCATCCAGCCTGTTTAAAAGCTTCCAAAGGAGCCTCCACATTTCAAGCACATAACTATTCCAAATGATTGTAAATAGAATGTATTTATTATTTATTTACTTCATTTGTTGACCGCCGTTCTCAGCCCTAGGGCGACTCACGGCGGTGTACAACGTATAAAAACAGTTTACAATAAACAATATCACAGCAAAATCAACATAACAATCAATAATACAATTACACTAAATCATCCGCGCCGTCTCATCGTAGAATCATAAACCAAACTCGTTATCCGTATTCCGTTCCGATCGTCATTGCCAATAGTTGTAGCACTTAGTCAAACGCCTTCTCAAATAACCATGTTACATTCAAACTTATACATAATATATAACATGTATGTATAGGTGAATGCAGATATTCCAAAATACGGGGGGGGAGGGGGCATTGAGAGAAAACAGGGCAATTGAGGGTTGGGATCTACACTGAAGAATGAATGCAGTTTGATCCCACTAATTGCCATGGCTCATTGCTAAGGAAATAATGGGAGTTGTAGTTTGGTGAGGCACCACAACTCTGGCAGGGAAGGCTAAACATCCTGTAAGACTTCAGCTCCCAGGATTCACTAGCCTTGAGCCATGGGAGTTAAAGTGGAGTCAAACTGCATTAATTCAACAACTCAGATGATTATCTCCTCAGCTGGCAGCGGCGCCCTCCAAAGCGACCAATCAGAGAGGCTGCAAACATCTCACGTTGACTTCCGCGTTCTGGTTGCCCTCAGCCACCAATCGGCGTCGGGCGCTGACAAACAACGTCACCTTCCTGCGCCAGCCCTGGAAGTAGGCATGGGAGAGGACTGGGGCTGGTGATGCTGGCAGAAGAGTGCTGCTGGGTCTCTTCCTGAATGAGTGACGGGGTTTTCCGTCTGTTTGTGGTGCCGGCTAAGGACCCATAGTGAATTCACCCCTTCCTTCGCCAAACTCCCTTCAACGTGAATAAAAAGGTTTCCTTCTCCTTGGCCCTCTTGATGGTACATCTTCCTGAGGCTTGGAGGAAGGCAAGGACATCTTGAGCTCTTCCCTTTCTGCTCCTCCTTCCTGTTCTTCCTCATTCTCTTCTTGCACCTCCTTATTCTTCCTCCTCGTCTTCTTCCACCTCCCTGTTCTTCCTTCTCCTCTTCTTCCTGTTGTTCCTTTTCCTTCTCTTCTTCCTCCTCTTTTTCTCTTTCCTCCTCCTCCTCTTCCTCCTGTTTTTCCTCCTCCTTCCTCTTCTTCTTCCTCCACCTCCCTGATCTCTTTCTTCCTCTTCCTCTTCTTCGTCCTGTTGTTCCTCTTCTTCTTCCTCCACTTCCCTGTCTTTTTTCTTCCTCCTCCTCTTCCTGTTGTTCCTTCTCCTTCTCTTCTTCTTCTTCCTCCACTTCCCTGTCCTTTTTCTTCCTCCTCCTTTCTGTTGATCCTCCTCCTGTCTCCTCTTCCTCCTCCTCTTCTTCTCCCTCCACTTTGCTGTTCTTCCTCTTCTTCCCTTCCTCTCCTCCTCTTCTTCCTGTTGTACCTCCTCCTTCCTCTTCTTTTTCCTCCACCTCCCTGTTCTTTTTCTTCCTCCTCCTCCTCCTCTTCTTCCTGTTGTTCCTTCTCCTTCCTCTTCTTCTCCTTCCTCCACTTCCCTGTCCTTTTCTTCCTCCTCTTCTTCTTCTTTCTGTTGATCCTCCTCCTGCCTCTTCTTCCTCCTCTTCTTCTTCCTCCACTTTGCTGTTCTTCCTCTTCTTTCCTTCCTCTCCTCCTCTTCTTCCTGTGCTTTTCCTTCCCCTTCCTCCTCCTCCTAAGATGTCTTCAGCCTCCTCCCTTGCTGCCTCTTCTACTGGACTGCTCTCCTTCTGCCATCATGCTTGGGAGCAGGTCTTTGCCAAGGTCAAGCGGGCGGTTGTGTTCATGGACTCCCCTTGTGCTGAGAGCCTCCATTGGGCCTGTGGCGGAGCAGGACAGCTCTTCCAAGCTGGAGCGCTCAATGTCAAGGAGTTCTCCAGCTTTGAGTCAGGCCATGCAGAGCAACCCAAGGCAGTTTTTGTGGTTAGCACCTTGCTGAAAGGCCGAACCGTGGATGTTATCCGTGACATTGTGAGTCTCAGCAACTTCCAGTACTGTGTGGTTTTCACAGCAGTCAGCCATGCTGTCCACTTGCAGGCCCATGGTGCTCCCAGCAGTGCTGAGGCAGAAGGTGGTAACCAGGTCGTCTTTGAGCAATTTGAAGAAAAGCTCTGCCAGTGGATGGGCAACATGAACTACACGGCAGAGGTGCAGTATGCTCCCTTATTCTTGGCACCCATCTCACCACACCTCTTGGTAGCACCTTCCTTTTCGTGCCTTTTCCCCTTAATGGGTCAAGATTTGTCGCAGATCAATAGTACCAGGCCAGAGAAGAAGAAATTTGCTCACTTGACTGATGTTGACTTCTCGTCCCTGTCTTCAGAGCTGCAGCTTGAGATCAGGTCATTGGTGTCTGATTTAAACAGCTTATTTGAGTCTCTCAGTGTTAGGGAGGAATGTTTTGCGATTGGAGCACTGAGCAGGATCATTGCAGGTGATCTGGCAAGTTATTCCCAGGCAAAGGCCAGAAGGAAAATGGCACAAAATAAAGCTTCTCTCATCTTTGTGGACAGGACTTTAGATCTGACAGGTAAGAATCCTGATCTTTGGAGATTATAATCTGCTGTTTGAAATTACAGTTGTCTTTACACATTTGCAGGTTTAACTATTTTGGATTTAATTATTCATTGATTTGGTTAATGAATAAAAAATCTCTAGCACAACTCTATAGTAAATCTCTAGCAGGAGTTGACTTTGTAGTCTTACCCAGGACCTAAAATTCCTACAGAAACTACTTCTCTAGGCATTAGGTCCTCCAGTGCGATTTTGTTGCAAGTCTCTGATGAAAGTTGTGCATAGAGAGATTCCTGGAGAAGTGTTCTTGCAAGTTTTGAAAAATGTGTTTCCCCCCCCTTTTCATGGGTGTCCTGCACCCTTCCGAAAGTAGATGGCATGCTGGATAGTACTGTATACAAAAATACATGGTATTGAAAGTAGCTGTCTTCTTTGAGATACCATGCTTGAAGGTCTCCCTAAACTAAACAATTTCTTAAAAACATTTGTCAACACAGGGAACCTTAGAGTTCTCACCCCGATTGTATTATTGAGAAAGCACGACAGATACCCAAAGATCTTATTAGAACCAAAACCCCATGTATTCTAGCCTTTCTAAGTGCAGACCCACAGGTGCTTGGATGATGGTTGTTTTGTTGTGTGCATTGAAACCATACTGCTGTTATTGATTATTGATTCTGCAGTTTAAATAGTTTTGCCCTCAGGATGTGGACTTGGAGATCTAAGTAGGGATATTTCAGTCCCGGTCTAGAACTGTGACCATCAAGTTTAGTTGAGGTTTCTTGACTTTCAGACATTTAGGCAAATCCACAAACTGAAGGACAGCCAGCCTTGCTTCCAGGATGATTGTATCTTTAAGACTGTGAGTTTGCCTAAGTGTCCGAAGAACAAGAAACCTCAACTGAACTAGATGATCATTGCTGTCAGCAGGATATAAAGGAAAGTAATATTTTATTGCATTTTAGGATTATTGTGACACGTGCAAAGACTGCCTAACCATCTTCCTGCAGAGCTAGCTTGAGGTCATATAAACAACTTCAAGAATAGTATTTCTGAATGACTTCAACATACTTGCTTGTGTCTACCTGTCCGGAGCATTTTGGGATGTTATGGCCCTTTCTCTGTTCATGCCTAAATCAGCACACTTCAGTTTTAATTTTCTTTACTACAGTGGAAGAAGGGGATTTATGGGCTAGGGAGGTAACTATGACTTTTTGTATGATCTACATTGGCCAAGGAGAGATCTGAATCTTGATATCTTAAGGTGCATCTACACTGCCATTTTAGTACAATTTGACCTTACTTTAATCGTCATGACTCAATGCAATTGGATCATGGGAGTTGCAATTTAGTGAAGCATGAGTACTATTTGACAGAGAAGGCTAAAGATTTTGTAAAAGTACAACTCTCATTATTTCATGGTTTTGTGTTGTAGTGACATTTATAGTAGATGGGACCAACAAGATCAGAGAATAGAACTGGGACTCATACAGCTTGCAGGAGCCCCCAGTGGCACAATGGGTTAAACCCTTGTGCCGGCAGGACTGCTGACTGATAGGTCAGCTGTTCGAATCCAGGGAGAGCAGGTTGAGCTCCTTCTGTCAGTTCCAGATCCCCATTCGGAGACATGAGAGAAGCCTCCCACAAGGATGGTAAAACATCAAACATCTGGGCATCCCCTGGGCAACATCCTTGCAGACAGCCAATTTTCTCACACCAGAAGTTTCTTAAGTTGTTCCTGACATGAAAAAAATTCTTGCAGGCAGTGTTTTAGACAGTTACCTTGGTTTCATTTTTAGGTCCTTCTTAGAGGTGGTGGAGGTAGTAGCACAAGTATTTTCTTGAATTTGATGTCATTAGCAGTAGTAGGCTATTTCCTTAATTTTTTTTTCAAAGAACCAATATGTAAAATTATTTTTCTTCCTAATGTTGAGGTTGATCAGATATTCTTTTTAAATATACTGTTATCCAATATTACTGGTTTTGAATACTCTTTGAGTTGATCTTTTTCCTTTCCAGGAACAGTCGCTCATCATGGTGACAACTTAGCAGAGAAGATTCTCTCTGTGCTTCCTAAACTTCAGGGTCATATGAATGACGTTATGGTCAGCATGCTGGAACTCACAAGCCTTCAGAGTGATGATGCCAGTCGCAATATTATAGCACCGGGTTGCTTGGCACAACCAAAGTAAGACACTTTCCACATCTACATGGGTGGGGCAGGTTTAAGGACTATTTTCTTAATGGAATATTGTGTTTAAATTCTGCACCATCACTCATTCAAACATGAAAAAATGTTCTTGAAAATACATATCAAATCTGAAAGTGAAGACAAAATTCATACTGATATATTTTTATTTGTCTGAGACTTTATGTTTATTGTTGTCTGATCACTCAACTTGAAGACCGTAATAGGAATATGTTTGAAGTGTGTGGATCATGTCAAGAGAGGATGAGAGATCTTGGAGTCCTTTATTTATCCTTCGTGTCAGGAGCAAACCAAACAGTTGTATTGCATTAAAAACAAACAAACAAAACACGAAGTTTGCAAACTTGGTATTCTATGAAATGTCTTTTGACTAGTAGCTGGCCACTTGGAGTGCTTCTGGTGTTGCTGCAAGGAGGTCCATTGTGCATGTGGCAGGGCTCAGGTTGCATCGCAGCAGATGGTCTGTAGTTTGCTCTTCTCCACACTCCCATGTCATGGATTCCACTTTGTAGCCCCATTTCTTAAGGTTGGCTCTGCATCTCGTGGTGCCAGAGCACAGTCTGTTCAGCGCCTTCCAAGTTGCCCAGTTTTCTGTGTGCCCAGGGGGGAGTCTCTCATTTGGTATCAGCCATTGATTGAGGTTCTGGGTTTGAGCCTGCCACTTTTGGACTCTCGCTTGCTTAGGTGTTCCAGTGAGTGTCTCTGTAGATCTTTGAAAACTATTTCTTGAAATTTAAAACCAATTACAATTATTGTGGAGACTCATCAATTAAACAGTATATTTAGCTAAGCTCAGTGCAAATTAACCTTGCTGTCATTAGCAATTCAATTCATTCATCAAAAGCTTGCTTGAACAGGTATGTCTTTAACTGGTTCTTGAAAGATAACGGGGAAGGGGCAATTTTAATCTCAATGGGGAAGGAGTTCTAAAGGTCCTGGGTAGCTACCGAGCAGGTTCTCTCTCTCTCTCTCTCTCTCTCTCTCTCTCTCTCTAATTGCCGCCAACCGTATTTGTGCCAGTGGCAGCAACAAGCAAAGGGTCTCTCTGGAAGATCTTAATGATCAGACAGGTTGGTAAGAGGCGATGCGGTCAGATAGATAAGTTGGGCCTGAACTGTTTAGGGCTTTAAAAGACAAAACAGCACTTTGAATCAGGCTCGGAAACATATTGGTATGTTCTATAACGGGTGAGTACACTCCCTGGGTCCAGCACCTGTCAATAACCTGGCTGCAGGTTATTATTATTAATACTCTCTCCCCCTACCCCTTGCCCCCCACCTTCAGCTACTGTTCTATCCACAGAGCAGCCGTGGGGTGGTGGTATTTTGACTGTGTAATGTACAGTATTTTCAGCTTTCAGTGGCATGTCAGCTGGGAGGAAGGGTTCCATATATTATGCAAAAATTGTATCATGCAAAGAGTCCTGGAAAAAATTACTCACATATGGTAATACGTGAGCCTACCGTATTAATATTCAAACTGGTTTATGATTTTGGCAGTGATGTAGTTCGTAAAAGTCTTGTTGGCAGAAATAGGACTTCTTTAAAATTAAGAGTTTCTTTAATAGAAGTATATGCACTTGATAGGCATTATGTATTTAGTAAGCACATTTATAAAACTGAGTAGTATTTCAATTTTTAGAAGGGATTTTTGTTTTGAGGTACAAGAGAAAGTTGGTCTCTTTCCTCCTTAAATGGTATATTTAACATTTAAAATAAATGTGTTTCCAAAACATCTGATCTTAGTTTAGATCTTAGTTTAGAATTACCAAACAGATATAATGAATATTTATGACTATTGTAGTGATTCAAGGCATAGATCTTTCTTTAACCCTAAGGAAACAATGAAGTTCTTTGAAGCTATAAATGCAAATTGAAATAGTTTTATGCCTGATAAATTGTTGGATTTTGAAGATGATTACCTGAGAAAATATAAGATTATCTTCAAAATTGTGTCAGTCACTTGTAGAATATTTTGTAAGGAAATATTTCTACTATAGTTTCTGATTTATTTCTGATATGTTAGGGGACATGAGCTAATTTTCTTTTTATATGTCAATCTTTTTCTTCTAAACATTTACACAGATTATGAAATTAATTTGACCATAATAAACTATAATTATGGTGACATGCAAACTTTTACGATTATTACACTAAAAATAAAACAATTGCGTGGTGAAAAAGTAATGAGCATGCCATATTTGACTTTACAAATCTTTTTCTTGGGTACTTCAGAAGTGTGCAAAAGACAAATGTTTTAATTTGAGAGGTCTGAACAAGAAAGAACGTGTGTGGCCTTGTGCACCTTACCAGACTTCTTCCCTTGTTTATTTTGTATATCCAGGGCTTTAGCTACAACTATTTTATGGCAAGAGTTAACTGTCTATGACAAATTAATATCTCATTTGGATGTTGATGAGTAGTCCTACAGATTTTAAAACCCATACCTTATTGATAGCCAAACTTTGGTAGTAATAATTCATTTTAAAAGCCCTATATAGCTGAATATCAAAATGGTGGCATGAATCCAGTGGAATCTGTGTGTCTCTCTTTGTGTGCTCTGAAGACGTTGCTGGTTTTGGCTTCAAATGGCAGCTGCAGTATGTAATGGACTACTGCTTGGAAGGGTTTCAGGGGTTTCTTATAGGAAGGAGAATGCTCTCCTAGATTCATAGAAAGATCCTCTGTGTACATAGAAAACTATGCATTCTTATCTTGATTCTCGCCATTATTCTATTTGGATTTGTGAGTTCAGTATTCCAAACTTCCTGAAGATAAAGAATTTGTGGTTCTCATGATGCTAATGATGTATCATTCCCATGATCCATGGGATTCTTGGGCTAATGAGGTAAAGTCTTAAAAAAATGGAGGAACTACTGACTCTAGCTCTGCTCTAGACCAAGTCTTCTTCAGTTGTAGATCCCAACCCCAAATAGGGTCCCCATTCCTCAATCCTGGGGTCACAAAAATTTGGCAAGAGTAAAAGGTGTTTGAATGCCACCAATTTACACAAATCTACTAGCAACAACATGCTGTGTTTACAATGCAGTCTGAAGAAAATGCATTATTTGTACTCTGCAAAAAAGAAAAACTGGCCTGTTTAATAATCCTTGAAAATGCTGGTTTATTATCAGTAAATGTTTGATATTTATACCTATTTTATCCCTATATAACTGGGATCATGTAAAAATTGGTCAGGCGAAAAGGGGTCACAAATGATAAAGTGTTAAGAGCCCCTGCTCTAGGGAACATGTTGCAGATTACATACATTTTCTGGATTATCCAATGCAGGTAGTACTCAGGCCAATTCAGCTCAGTTTGAATATTGGAATGTATTGTTTGACTTCAGACCATAAGCACATTCATTTTGAATCTTTTTCTGGCACTTCTGTTCTCAGTTGAGCCAACTCTGCCCCACGACTTCACAGCAGTTACTTTAGTCTGCACATTTATGTTCTCAGCAGAGCCAACCTTGGTCTGCCAGAATATTATACCTTGACTACATATGCATGATTTATGATTTGCCTTTCCAGCTTAAGCCAAGACTGCGCAAAGCTAACGTGCATGCCTTTAAGAAACAAAAAAATCTTTAAAAATCAGAAGACCTTTGGATAGTTGGTTCCCGGGCTTGTGAGGTGGGTGGTTTTCTTGTCCTAGATGGGGTTACAGTTTCCTTACAGATACAGGTGCCTGATCAGTAGATTGCTTTTGAATTTATCCCTTTCACTGTTATCGAATGTAGCACCAAAGACTAGATAGCAGTGCCAGCTGTTATAGTAGCTAGGACCATTCATACACAATGATAGACAATGATCCATGTTTTTGTGACTTTCAAGATAAGACTACTATAATACTTTCTATGTGGGGCTGTTCTTGGATTTAATTTGGACATTGTGACAAACATTTGTGTAGATCATAGTCACAAGGCTTGTTAGTGAGACCTCCTACCTTGCATTCTCTATGCTGAAAAGTAGATAATAGATACTAAGTCACGGTCAAAAGAGTTTATTTAGTTTTATAAGGTGCAAACAGCTCAAGATAGGTTGTCTGAGAAGCAACTTTTTCCGATTGGCTGCCTAGGTGTTGACACTATAATTGTCCCATGGCTTAAGTCATTTGCTTGTGGTTCAAAGGAGAACTTCCTTTGCTGTGGAATCCACCATTAGATTGGTTTTCTTACTGAGATACGGAGGACATTCAGAGTTGGGTGTTTCAATTGTCAAGTAAAATAGACATATCTGTATGTCCAGGCATTTTCCATATTATTTTCCTTATTGTTAACATTGTCACTCCTGGCTTGTAATTACAATAATCAAAATAATATAATCAATATAAACAATAATTTTGAAATAATTTATTGTTTTATTATTTGGGGGAGGAGGATACTTCTTTATTCTATAAATTTTACTGTGAACCCCTTTGGGATTAAAATACATGGAACGTGTTATAAAACGACTCTTTAAAAATGAACCAGAAATAAATTAGAACCAAGAAAACCTGAGAAACATCTCCATGTGAGCAAAACAACAACGAATTCCAAAAAATGCTTTCAAACCAGATAAATACATGTTCTAACTAGGCTAGAAGATGCTTTATAACACGTTCCATGTATTTTAAATAAAGCTGCAAATTTCAAAAGTATCATACAGTGGGCAATTCTAGGGCCCTTCCAGACAGGCCCTACATCCCAGGATCTGATCCCAGGTTTTCTGTTTATCCCAGATTCTCTGGCAGTGCAGACTAACCCAGTTTAAAGCAGAAAACCTGGGATCAAATCCTGGGATATAGGAACTGTATGATACTTTTGAAATTTGCAGCTTTATTTCCCCATGAAATCTCAATGTGTTGGAAGGTAAAGAGAAAAGCATCCTTTAGGCAACATGAAGGTATATGGATGCAAGATTTGCTTCTGGTCTAATAAACCATGTAGGGAACTTCTTATATCAAGTCGAATTTAAAATGTTAAGCCTTTCAATTGGT